ATATTTAATTGAAAAATCAATAATAGTTATTCATTGTATGAGTGTTAAGAAAGCTGCAGTATTGGAAAGAGCTCACATATTGAAGAATTTTTGACTGGGGCTTCCGATAAAGAATATTTAATGATTTTATACTATAGTGAAATAAAGTTACTCTTTATTCCACTAGTGGATAAAGTATCAATTTAGACGGTTCATATGTGTGGATAAAAGTCCAATTATAAGGTGATTGTGGATAAATTAATAGTATTTTTCCCCAGAATAAATCATCAAAAATGTTAAGAGTCACCTTATGTTTAATAATGAACGAAGATTACAAAAAACTCACGTATTAAAAATATATTAAGCTTGGTCTTTGAACATATTAATATAACTTTTTCTTTTCATAAAATGATTTGAAGATGCACCCTCTGAAACATTTTAGAGAAGTGTTAATTTTGAACAAAAGCCCAATGATATTCAGTTTAGAATAATCAATAAATCGATTTGTAATACTAATAATAAGTTCTCCAAATAGTAGAAGCAATTTGTCGCTTTCAGTAACGATTTTAGTATATTTAATTAGGTACCTAAGTACTGCACATATTTCACACATTAGACACTACTATAGCCATTCTAATTTAAAATTAATTAGAGGCACTTCCACCACATCTGGTTTAATAGTGCTAAATATATACGCTTCAAGGTGAAAATTGTAGACCACAAACATGTGTACATATAAATATTATTCTTCAATAAAAAAATATTCTATCGAATGATTACACAGGCATACAATTTTTAGTTTTTAACAGAGACTCATAATTTTACAGAGGCACACATTTTTACAGAGGCACACAATTTTACAGAGGCACAAAATTTTACAGGCGCACAATTTTACAGAGGCACACAATTTAACACAGGACAGAGGCACGCAATTTTTAATTTTTAACAGATTACACCACTATATTTTGACCTGCTGAAAGCGATGAAACCATCAGAAGTACCCTATTAATACTGAGTACTTTTATTTCAAAAGCTTAACTATTTTAATAAAGAAATCAAGATTTCCACTGATTTTGAGCTATTTTTTTGAGGTTAGAGAAAAATCCTGATATGATCAAGCATTTCGGATGGCTCCATCGTCTGCAGTTGGTCAATATACAGGGGGGTATCGTATTTTATTAAAAAGTATATGAAAAAAAAAATGTGGATGTTATTCTGAATTTTGGATAATTCTGATTTTGTAGAAATATTTTTATAATGAAAAAAAAACGTTTTTAGAGTTATATTTGCATCTCCTATTTTGAGATGTCGTCTTGTTATAGCCACAAGTTAATTCGTTTCATTTTTAGGAGAAATGTTTGCACCAACATATTTACAAATTCCAAAATCGTGAAACAGTTTCTATGATAACTAAGGCAAATATATGTTGTCCTAGAGATTCTGAGAATTTTGTTAGCTTTTAAGGCTTTGAAGTTGTTTATCTTCCTTTCTTTCAATCATGATTACTTTAAGCACTTTATCTGTATAAACAATAGTTTGACCTTCAACAGTTTAATATTCCTGGAAAAATACACCTAAGCGTGTGCATTTAAAAGTGTAGATAAAACGTTGTTAATGGAAACTAATATATTTTTAATTGTCTTAGAGATATAACATAGATTTAGAAACCAATAACTAACTGGGATAACTCTATACACAATTTTTATTAAATGTAAATACGTTCGGAACAGCACTACGCATTTCCGTACAAACAGTTGAACCGTTGGCGTAAAAATCAATACGAGAAGGCGGATAACCTAACATACTAACCGTTCCTTTGTTCCAAGATAAGATTCTCTTCCGGATAGCCTCCTTCTAGATCTGAATAAAAATTCATGGTCGCGCTTTGCTTCCGCACTCCATTGCTGAGCACATCTTCCATAATCGACTGTGAGAAACAAAAACGCGTATCGGAATCGGTCCACGCCTTGGACTTCTGCTTTATGCACTCAACACACACGCAGCCGACACCAAATTAACGTGTGGAATGTGCGGCAGAGACGAGTAGCGTGTAGTTAAAAGCAGGTCCGCGATAGGGGAACGGCAATTATTATTTTTATATGGGTCCTCAATGGAATATCGGATATGCGTGCTCGGGCTGCAGGAATCGCGCCGATTTATCGATTCTGACACGGAGTACGTCCAATATTAGCGCTCACACATGCTGTATTTTTGATAACTGCGACCGCATAGATAAGATAAAGATAAACCAGCCCGGTCGTGATATCAAAGTGTTGTTGAGACGATTGTTAATGAATTCATGCCGTGATAGCAACTGCATCAACAATTACAAACCACATATCGAGTTCCACAACATTAAAGAATGTTGGAACAAATCTAGTAAACAAAAAATTCTAAATTAACACGGCCTAGACCTATAGGGTCTTTTAAGCGGAATGCCCTGTATATTTTTACATCTTCTTTGAAGCCTAGTCCAGATCTACAAATGTTGTTCACATGTTTTTAAACAAAAACATTTACACATAAACAAATCGCTTTTTGTTTGCAATAAACAAAAGTTTAGCAACAGAAGTCTTCATCTACGTCAGAAAATATTTTTCGCTTCATTCGAATTCACTGATTTCAGTATTCCAAAGATTACTACCCAAAGTGAAGGAACTAAAGGAATTGTTGCAGGCTACATGTTTTTTAATTTAAGGATAAATAAAAGACGTTGCAGTATGCATGATATTTTGCAAGATGGAGTACAACGTTCTAAAAATCTGAGAGAGAGCTGAAAGTAAACGATCATGATGGATTTTAACAATTTTTGGGAATGACACTCACAACTTCGAAACCTTAACCGAAAAGATGAATTGGTGAGAACATGATAAATTTTCAATCAAACCTTAAAAAAATTAACATGTTGTTTTTCATTTGCTTGTGAATATAGTTTATAGATCTGGATTAGGCTTTAGTAGAATTTCCCAAAATTACAATGATAAAAGTTAAGGGCAAGCAATCGGCAATGTCAATGGACATTTGGGCAAATAATTGTAACATAATAACCATCGAAATTAAATACATGAAAAGTAAAAATAAATATTTAAAAAAAGCGTAAAACCCATAATGTTGCTTAAACTCCAAACCCACAAAACGGTTGAATATGGCTGCTCTATAGAAGTGCCATCAGTATGATAAATCAATATGATAAATAGACACTTCTATCTACAGGGTGTTATAGCTGCTTTACATTGACAATTTATTGATGAATAAATTTACGAAGTTCTTTATGAATTAATTCACGAATTTATTGGTAAACAGTGTGGTTTTACACTGCTACAGACTTTGTCAAGTTTTTTGGCGCATTAATTAGTTCTACCAACGAATCAAAGAAGCAAATAAATTTCAAAAATTCCACCTTTCCACTCATAATAATTGTAGTGATACAACAGCGGTACCGTTTTGACACATATTATATAAATATTAGTGTTTGTAAGTAACAAATCAGTAAAAACAATACAAAACTAGTACGACGCCACACAATTATTTACATATTCCAATAACATAACCTCATTACTGATCTGAGGCTGCAAATCTGTTGGGTTGGTACTTCCGAACTTCACGAAGAAATTGACGAAAATTAGAACATGCTCTAATTCGTCAAGAACTTGATGAATAAATTCATTAAGTTATTTGACAGCAGATTTGGTGCATTACACTTCTCCAATTTCTTGATGAAGTGACTTCATGGATTAATTGATCAATAAATTGTCAATGTATAACAGCTATTATAAGTTTAACTGCCTTAATTTTAACAGACGATAGAATACATTAAAATAAATAACAATGTGTAGATGTTACATTTCGAAAAATCAGAAGTAGACTTCAAACCATATCTGGTGACAAAACTCTTCAAAATAAAAAATAAGGTTTCCATAAAAATATAGGTCGAGAAATGCTTAGTTTTCAAGATGCAAATTTTTTACTCTTATATTGTATTGACAATTATATTTCACTTTTCTATGAGACGAATGCTATTAACAATGTTTAAAATTTATTCAATTTATTTCAAGATTAAAAAAATTAAAAATCAACTGATTTTCCGTATAAAATAAAATATACCTTTTTCAGAAATGACAATACGAATTAAATTCACTTTATTAATTTCCAAAACAATTCGTCGAAGTGCTGTCGATATTCTGAAGTTTCTGTTAACAGTACCATCCAGTATCTCCGTCACTGATTGACATATGTTTGTAAATTAATTCAATGGATGTTTTACTTTAAATTTGGAAATTATATCATAAATTTCATCTATCTACATCAGATATCTTCAAAGATATGGATATGATAATTTTTTATAACTTGAACACCCTGTATCTCGAGAAAACTAAAAATTTCTTGATCCATGTCTGTAGGAACTTTTTTCCTTATTTTGAGAAATTCTATCACCAGGTAAAGTTTGGCGTTTGGAACACCCTGTATATCTACGACGTTTGTATTATTTTTGAGCAATAACAGAGTTAACTGATGACCCTTTGATCAATACAAGAATCATGAACTTTCGGACTAAAATTAACTGATATTACATCACTTTTGCTGTTGTTTTTTGAAAATAAAAATTATGAGAATTAATTTGAAAACAATATAATTTTTTAAAATAGAAATCTGTGCAGACAATTCCTGCTAGCTACGGAAAGTTCAAAATGGCTCATTTTAATATGAGCACAAAATTGTAACTGTATCATGCTCTATAAATAATTCGAAATTTTTTATTAAATGCAATAGATGAGCAAAACGAAAGATTGATTATGATTGATGATAAATAACGATGAATTATTGTATTTGAAAAAAAAACTAGGTACTGAAATGTTTGTAATTCTTTATTGAACTCGAAATATTTACAAAAAATATTTGGATTAAGTGCATTAAAAATATAAACTAATTATTTAATTTTAAAATTTATATATGCAACAACAGCAAAAATATCACGAATAGTTTACAATGCAATTTTTAATAATATAGATTTTATGTTATGTACTCACATCTAAATATTGGATTCTAACCATTACTGAAATCAAAATCGCTGTCATTCGATATTTTACTCGTATTTTGCTTTATGCTTTCACTGTCGGTATCCAACAAATCTAAAACATTCCTCTTTCTTGAAGGCTGTTCAACGTTTTCATTTTCAGTTTTAATGTTATCTTTAGTGACGTTTTCTTCTCCTACCCCACCCTGTATATCCTGCCCCTGTTGATCGGCATTGTATTGATCAGTCTCATACTGTTGCACCGTCTGACCATTTCCATCAAATTCTTTAGGCAATTGCCCCTCATATTGAACAATGGGCTGTCCATTTGCGTCATAATGTTGATATGATTCATCGTAAACTGTTGGAGGGATGGGTTGTCCGTTTTCGTCATACTGCTGGATAATTTGACCGTTCTCATCGTATTGAACTAACTCATCACCCTGATAATACACAGGCTGAATGTTTTCATCGTACTGTTGGATTGGTTGACCATTTTCGTCAAACTGTTGAATTGGTTCTTGTCCTTCAGCGTACTGTTGAATTGGTTGGCCATTTTCGTCAAACTGTTGAACTGGTTGATGACTTTCAACGTACTGTTGAATTGGTTTACCATTTTCGTCATACTGTTGAATTGGTTGACTATTCTCATTGTACTGTTGAATTGGTTGACTATTCGCATCGTATTGTTGAATTGGTTGGCTATGCTCATCGTACTGTTGAATTGGTTGTCCATTTTCATCGTACTGTTGAATAACTTCACCGTTTCCGTGATACTGTTGAATGGGTTGCTCAATTTCGTCATACTGTTGAATTGGTTTATTGCTTTCGTCATATTGATGAACAAGTTGACCAGTTTCATCAAACTGTTGAATCAGTTGACCCTCGGGTTGACCATTTTCATCGTACTGCTGAATAGGTTGACCATTTTCGTCATATTCAACAGGTTGACTGTTTTCATCATACAGTTGAGCAGTTTGTTTATTCTCATCATATTCTTTACTGGGTTGACCACTTTCATTGTGTATTTCATGGGCATTAATGTCGTATTGGGGGATATCTTCACCATGTCCCTCAAAAGAATGTTGCTTCGATTGGTCATCTTTATCATATTCTTGGTCATAAATTGTTTGCCCATTTTCGTCATACTGAAGCAGTGCTTTGCCGTTTTCACCGTACAGTTGTTCTATTGGTTGATCACTTGAATCGTATTGATCCATCTGATCGTAGGGTTGTGCATTTTCGTCATAAGCTTGATCGTTATTTTCAAATTGAGCCTGGAGTTGTTGGTTACTTTCGTCGTATATTACTTGATCGTCACATTGGACAGAATTAGGTTGATCATTATCTCCAACAGGTTCGTATGATTCATATTGTTGATTAAGTTCATTTTCTTCATGTTCTTCCTTCTCGTTGAGCTCAGTTTTACTTGCCAAATTTTGTATATCGACATTACTCTGATTGTTGTTAGACTCAATGGTTTTTGGTTCGTCATTATTAGATAAAGCCTCTATATAATCAATTTCTCTCCCTGGTCTAATATCATGTCTGTCAAATTCCTCGGCTTTACTAAGTGTTTCGTTTAATTCATCTTTATTTTCATTAGAATATTCTATATTTGTTTTTAAGTTAGTTCCATCTTCTTTTACAATTTCAGGTATATGGAGATTATATTCCTTATTATCCTCTATGCAGTTAGCTTCTGATTTTTTCACCCCAGGTTCTGTTGTTGGAGTATTGAGTATTACTTGCTTTTCATTTTCATTTAAGTCAATTTCCGTTTTGCTAGGACCAAGCAGGTTATTTTCGCGAAATTGTGTATCACTTTCGTACATTTCCTTTGGCAAAGTCTTGTTTTCTTTATAACGTTGAGGCAGAGATAGATCTACACTATTTTTAAATGTGTTTTCATAAGTCTTACTCTCTGCTCTTGTGTCTTCTTCAAATGGGCGCAAACCTTTAGCAATATTACCGGAGGTATAAGGCTTTTCGTTAAATTTATTCATATCGTGGTTCCTTGACGTTGTACCAATAAAGTTAGGACTGCTGACATGCAAACCAACTGGAGGACTGTCTCTAATGCTACCGTATTGATAATTGTTGAGGGAGGAGTCGCCAAATCCGGAATATTTATCTTTGTCAGGGTATCTACTTGTGTAATTTGGTGATGTGAATTTACTCGCTTTCTTTGTTTCGTCTTTGTACAGATCGGTATTATAATGTCTGGAATAAATTGAATTCATTATGTCTTCTGCGATAGAATTTGCTTTATTGGAGTTGAAATCCTCATTCAGTTTCTTAGATGCCTCATCAAAGTACTTCAGTTCACTAAAATCATTCTTATTCTCCTTTGGTTTAATTTCTGATGCAGCTTGACCTTTCTGGCTTTTCAGATTCTGTAAATATTTGTCCAATATTTCAATTTTTTCGTCGTTGGTTTTCCCGTAAGCTTTCTTCAGCATTGCGATATCACTCGATTTTTTATCATAATCATAACTTGGTTTATGTTCACTAGGCAGCTCTTCAACTATTTTTGGTGGGAAATATTCTTGTTTTACGAGAGGTCTTTGAGTTATTCTTTGCAGGTAGGTTTGATATTGGTGTCGCAACATTTTGACGCGCTCGGTTTTTGACGTTAACATATTAACGCGAGATTCTATTCTTTCCAGTGCTCGAATTATTTTCTCGTTCCTCTCTTGTCGCTTTCTGTCTTCTTCCAGAAACTTTTTGTACTGAGATCGCAGTTTTTTATAGTGGGCTTGTTCCCTGAAAAAAATAATTAGGGTCACAAGTGGAAAATAAGGGTCGTCATCAATGTTAACGATAAACTAGAAAAATGAGCATTGGAAGAAGAGTAATCAGTCATCATGTAATATAAACTGATGACTGAAGAGTACACTAATCTAGAAGTTTACGTGACAATGCGCAGTTAAATCGCTTATTTCTTTTGCTATTGAATATCTTATTTTCACGAAATGTTTACGTTTTCATAATTAATTGTTCCATTAAACCAATGACATCATTTGCATGGGTAGACAAATGGAATCAACACAAGTTATGCGGGACAAAAAATATGGTATGACCCTGGTAAAATTATCGAATGCGTAGATATTTTGTAGCAGTATTGTTTATAAATGTATTTTTATAAATGGGTATTATAAGAGTATAAATTAATTACATAAAAGTATCTTAAATACAAATTTTTCATGAAAATATTTCGTTTTACAGTTAAAAATCTGTCATTGACAGGTCAAAAACTGTTTGCGCAGAAGTGCTCAATTTTCAACAGGTATTACGCTATGAAAAAAAATCTAAATTTCTAAATTATGTATTAGAAATTATTTACCACAGTTAATATTAAAACTATTGACTTGATTTTTTCACAATGCTTTTAAGGTGTCAAGTATTTACGGGAAAAAAGTTATAAATTATATATTACTATAGATTTTACTCTGACATGAGTTTTAGAATTACCATCGATTTATATTTAACTCAGAGTTAGGCTTATTTTATATTTATTTAAACAAAATAGTCGAATTTGAATCATTTTCCGAATATAATAATACTCAGTGGTGCTGAAATTTTTAAAGCAGATTTTAACGGCAATGCTGCATGTTTAGAAGATTATAACATAACAGTTGATACACAGAACACACTTGGGGTGGGCCACCTTAAAGGTCACACTAGTGCGAATTGGGATTATGCCATATTTGAACCTTTATGTCTTCTTTATTTCTAACGATAACAACGTATTTATATCAAAACTGGTGTAAAATTTTCCGAGAAATCAAAATGATGTTATTAGGTTTGAAAAAAAAAGAATTTGTTAAAAATGTGAATGAAAAAATACATATTTTTCGATGATGATGTTTAATTCGTATTTTTTTTTTATAAATAATGGCTAGAAAAAAAGTAAAAAAGGGTTTTGAAGTTCAAAGTCGACATTTTTAAGAAAAAAATACCTCATATTAATAAAATTATATTATCGATTTCTCCTGATTTCTCGAATATAGGCATTTTTTAAGGTTGATTTTTGACTCCTTTTCTGTAAATTGGTGTTTATTTTGCACTTTTCTCACTGTAAAAATATTAATTTAAAAAATATTATCCATAAACATTGACAAGTACATTTTATAATTAAACTGTTAATGAAGAAATATGTTTGAAAAATTATTAACAATAACTAAATAAACAATGGTCTAGAGTATATTGGACATGTAAAATGAGGTTAAAAATATCGAAACATTACATTTCAATTCAGTTCAATTCAGCCACACTTTTGCCCACACTAAAGTCACACTAGTGCGAATTCGCACCGATCGGACTTTTCAAACTCTCTAATTTAGCCGACAATAACAGACTGAAGTCAGCTGTGGTACGGCTGGACTGTTTGGGCTATAGAAAGAATTATCGTATTGGGGGAACCATCGGCAGCTGCTTCCTGAGAAAACTGTCAAAGAAAATGTTGGTGCGAATTCGCACTAGTGTGACCTTTGAGGGTTAATCCGACAAAAAAAGTATGTTTTTATGGAAAATAGTTTTCACTTTTACTTAATCTGTAGTGTTTTCGCCATAAAACATAATTTGGACAGGACATAGCTAATGCAATGCAAAACATCGCCTTAATGTTAAAAATGCTGTCACCGCCGTTCTTGGTGGTGAAAATTCGAAATATTTGAAATTATTAAATTTTCGTGGTTGAAAACAATATTGCATTGTCGAAACCAAGACAGTTGCATGAACAAAATTTGGACAGGACATAGCTAATACAATGCGAAACATCGCCTGTTATCTGTATACTTTAATATTTGAATTAAAAATATTCTAGTTACATTTTATGGAATAGCCACACTTACTGTGAATAACATTTTATGTTCTTTAAAACAATGCAAGCAATTTTTTTATGGAATGTCGACGTGTGGTATTGCGAAGACAACATAACTTGCACAAAACATAAGAAACGAAAAACATTAATTTTGTATCCCCTTTTGCTGCTTCCATCTCAAAGCGGTACATGGTAGGTGAAATCAAAATGTAAATGTAAAAAGAGTCTTAGAATCAGAAAGGAGGATCAGATGTGAGGTTTTATGGTATTGGTGGTATTGATTTATAAGTACAAACTTGTCATCTATTTTTTTCCCGAAACAAATTTACATATTTCAGTTATAGGTACCCTGCACAATTTAGTCACCTTTATTTCAAATGTTTTATAAAGAATGAATGAAATATTTTCCGAAAATTTTCAAAATGTAAAACTATCTTGATGGTATTTATGTTTCTCTCTCTCTTTTTCCATAGCATTCTCCAGAATCAAATATGTACAAGATATTTACAAATAGGTGTTCTTGTTCGTTTTCCAGAGTTTTGTGTTTCTTGTCATTCCAAATAAGTTACAAGAAGCAAAGTTCGCGTGTAGACGTTTTTCTAAATATTGTAAACTCGTAAATAAACATGAAAATCTATAGAGAACATGCGAATGCAATATTCTAGAACCAGTGCGGTTTTTTGCCTCAGTTCTGTCAAAAATTAGTTCTTCATTAAACTATTAACAATATTCAAAGCATCAGTCGTAGTAGCATTAAAGAAAACATTTACCGCGTCTTGCTCTACATATTTTTTTGTAAATAAAAAGATATAAAACATTTTTTTTATAAAAGTCACCTTAAACTGGTCAACTAAGCTCAGTACAATTTAGTTTTCGGACCATTATTTGCCAATATGACAATGTTGCGACAAAACTAAAGAAATATCCATGTGCGAGACACTGACCTAAGGATAATAAAATCGATACAAAAAAACGGAACTACATAGTAAAGAGTTTAAGAAAAAAGTTTTCTCTAGTAGGTACCTATTAAAAACTAATGAAACATTGTTACGCAAGAGTTCAATTAAAGGTTGTATATTTTTATATATCTATTTCATATTCTTAATAAACGCGCCAAATATTCGTTAATACGCGTTTTTTGATAGCTTAATTAAAAAAATATAGGAACACTTACTCTTCCCTAGAAATTTGAACAAGTTCATTAAACTTCATCTCCAATTTCAGGCGCTCTTCTTCGCTAGAAACAAATAATATTTTCAGACGCGCAAAAGCATTGTTTGTATTGAATTTTCATGATACAAACAATAAATAAGACAATATCTTACCTCTTTCTAAGTCTTTCTTGCAATTCGTAAAATTTTTGGTAGTACGCTTCCATCCTACTGTTAAATGACAAGTCCATGTTAATCACTTTTCACTTTTTGAACAAAAATGTCACAAACCACTTACAGCTGCGTTAGTTACTCCGAGGGTAGAAATGAAAGTGGGGTAAAATAAGTGCTCTGGGTACGCTGATGATGCAACACACTTAACATGCGCGTTGTAATTTGTCGATCTTTGTAAAATGCAACAGTCGGCGCCAAACCTAATCAATCAACATTTAATTAGTTAGGGAGATTTTAATCACTTTAACCAGGATGAGAATGGAAAGTTGCATGCATAGCATACGAGTAATTCAGTATTTTTTTTAATTACATACGCACGCGAATAATAGTTCGGAAATAACAAGTATATCGGGAGTCAGCATGTAGGTAAACACATTTTGCTTTACCGAAACAGCAGGCAAATTTTCTCTAAAAATACTAGTCGATAATACCAACCATCCACATAAAATAAAATTATATTTTAACAAGGACACACGCGATTGTTTGGTACCAGGAGAACAAGGATACAAACTTGACCTTTACCTACAAAATTCATATAAAACTTCAAAGATAAATCCGCATTGCATCGATTTTTAAATAAAATTAAAAGCAGCATTTAATGCTAATAATGTTTCATGATTTACAAACTTGAAAGTAGCTGCATAATCATGTTTATTTATTATAAGTGCAAATTGACGTATTTGTTCAAATATACCTACCTAGGTATATCCAAAATGAATAAATAACTATAAAAAATTACAATACAAAATTATATAGATATACTAGTTTCTAATATTACATCAATCATATGCATGAAATCTGCAGAAAATTTGTTAGGAACAGCAATTATGGTTAATATATACAAACCAAGAAAACTATTCAAAAATAAAAACAAATATAAAGAATAATGAAATATTTTTTGACTATATTTTGTTTTATTTTTCATTTACAAATTTGCTTTGTACGTTTGTGTCATTAATTAATCCTACAGTATAATACAAATCAATAAGGACAAACATTTTTTTTATAAACAGATATTTTACAGGAATACATTATGACCTTGAGATGTCAACCACAGTAAAAATGAATAATTTCTTTATTTTCTGTGGGTCTATGAGTGTGGCAAGATTTTTAAATATCCTAGACTTTTCAAATAAAATAGAAAACTATTTGTATTACAAATTTATTATACTACGTTAATAGATTAATATTTAGTACAAAATGTACAAAATAGAAAACTCTTTACTATTCTGGGAAAATAGTTTCATGATAATAGTTCATAAAATGGGATGAGGAAGAGGAGTAGTCAAGATGAACATACTACATTTTGAACTACTTAATGTTTTTGTTTACTACATTGCGTTAAATTTTGAGGTTAGGAAAGTAAAGATGGGAATAAGTCAAGTTTCGTATCCGAGTATCATGTATATTTTGTTCTTTTTTTTACTCATAAATGGCAAGATACAATAAGTGCAATAATAAATTATTACAGATCATTGATTGATTATGACTTGCTTTTTGCTAGGTCATCATTCATCACTTATGATTGTTGTAATAAAAAAAATGCAACAGAAATGAAAAATTGAAACGGATTATTTATTACTGATAACATAACCGAATTACTTGCATCATTTCAACAACTGAATAATAGGCCAGTTTTGACTCAAGTGATTCCAACAATACATAAAGTTATTTTCTTTGCACATTAATCATTTGGATTCTACACATTTAAACTTGAAATAACATGTGTGGTATTATTTGTATATGTCTAAATAGTGAAAGTAATCAGAAAAATTTAGAAAATATTGTAAGTCAATCTTATTAATCATCTTGATATATACTACGTATATACTTATCGTTTTTTAGTTTGGGATTTTTAAAGAAAGTATTAATAAACGTGGGCCAGATTGGTTTGGAACAAATACTTATTATTCTAAAAACTATCACCTCCTGTTTGCTGCAAGTGTTCTTTGGTTGCAAGGAAAATATATGGCAAAACAACCTCTACAAGACGATAGATATGTAATCATCTACAATGGGGATATTTTTGGAGGTCTATCGAGTGAATTGACTTTAGAAGAAGGTGATACCAAAGTACTATTTAGGTTAATGCATAATACTAGTAACATAGCTACAACCTTGGCACAATTACAAGGCCCTTATTCTTTTATATATTTTGATAAAATTGAAGAAAAGTTATACTTTGGACGTGACATATATGGAAGACGAAGTCTACTTGTAGGAAAACATAATGAGGCGATAATTTTGACTAGTGTAGCTAAAAGAGCAAGAGAATACGATTTCATTGAATTACCATCTATTGGAACTTTTTCTTTGGACATGAAAACAAATCAACTGCTTATATTTCCATGGAAGCATTGTAATCCAAATTTCGACAGCAAATTAACAGAACTCAAAGAATTTCTAAAGAAAGATATAGTTATTGTTGAACATGAATTAGGAAATAGTGATTATATAAAATTTGTAGAACCTAGCAGTGAACAACTACATTTTTATAAAAATATCACAAGTAGTGAGTCTAGAAACATTTTTGAAAAATTAATAAATATTCCAGATTGGTTAAATAGGATATTAGTACTGAAAAATCTACTTGAAAATTCAGTAGAAAAAAGGATAGCCAATCAGCCAAAGTATTGTAAAAACTGTATAAGTGAAAAGAAAACTTGTCGCCATTCATCGACAGGTGTTTTATTCTCAGGTGGGATAGATTGTGCAATTCTGGCACTTTTGGCAGATAAATTTGTAGATAAAAGTAGACCAATTGATCTTATTAATGTAGCTTTTAATGAATCCAATAATTATCAAACACCCGATAGATTAACAAGTATAAAAACATTAGAGGAGCTGAGACAGTTAAGACCAGAAAGAGAATGGCATTTTCTAGAAGTTAACGTACCGAAAGAAGAACTAAACGACGCAAGAGACAAGTATATAGCTGACTTAGTGTATCCCTTGACGTCTATTTTAGATGACAGCTTAGGATGTGCTCTTTGGTTTGCTAGTAGAGGAAAACAAGAAACCGTGATGTCTACATGTAGGGTGAGAATTTAAAATAAAATGAGGTAGATTGGAGGTTCTTGTATATGTATATATTGTATGAAAAAGTAGAAATATTTACTGTTCACATTACCTAAATTAGATTTCTGTTCGAGGTTCTGGTTGTTGGAATGGGGGCAGATGAATTATTTGGTGGTTATACTAGACATCGTGGAGCTCTCAAAAAGAAAGGTTGGCTTGGTTTACACAATGTTTTGCTTGAAGACTGGCAAAATTTACCATATCGAAATTTAGGCAGAGACGATAGGGTAGTTTCAGATCATGGAAGACAACTTCGAACTCCTTACTTAGACGAAAACTTTGTTCAATATGTTCGTAGCCTAAATTCTTGGGAGAAGTATACATGTTTATTAAAATACTAAATTTTATGTTTGATTGAATTAAATTTTAGAACTTTCCCATCTGAAGACATACCGCAGGGAATTGGAGAGAAAATATTGTTAAGAAGTTTAGGTTATTACTTGGGACTTAAAAACGCTTCTGCCTTTAAAAAGAGGGCTTTACAGTTTGGTTCAAGAATTGCAAATCGAAAAGAAAAGGCTCACTATGTATCCAAAAGGCTCTGCAGTTGAAAATTAAGACATTCGATGATATTCCTTATCAGAATTGAATTACCTCAAAAATTAAGTGGATTGTAAATAAAATAGATACAAGATAGAAATGAATTGAAATTTAAGTAAAAATGAATATCGTATAAGTGACAAAATGGAAAATTAAAAACGAAGAAAACCACAATTATCATTTTCAATATTTTCTGAAATATATTGAATACCTATATATATTTTCTTAAATTACATAATTAGATAATAATAATGGTGGACAGTGGAGGCAAAATTTGTATTGAACAATTGTTTTAACAAATTTGTAATAAAAAAGTAAATATTTTCGTAGTTTGTTTCTGTTACCAAAGAACTTTTGACTCGCAATAATCTGAGCGAATTAAGAAAGAAATATCAGTAATACGTGTTAAATGATGTTTAACTTTCTACTTTACAGTATAAACCTTACCTACCACTACCTACATTAGTGCTTCCTTAATTATCAACAAAATAATTACATTATTCAAACTAGGTCAACCAAACAATTCTATATTCTTTCTAACCATTCAGTGAATAGAATAATAATGAGGTATAGGATGTAAGGATATTTATTGCTTCAGTATTATATTCTGTTGAGAATCAGGCATTCAGTTTGATTAGCTTTGAGTTTACTTATCTGTAAAGAGTGTAAATATAGATGCGTAGTAAAATTCAATCTGATTGAGACTAATCTTGAGTCTTGAGTTTACTTTAATGATAATAAAATCAGTATTCCAATCAACTTAAGTATCTATAAAATATCTTTCCCGTCTTTATTTTCTTGTAAAACATTTCAATATATAAAATATTAGTATATTGCATTAAACCTCATCGATTGCAGAAACGAAGCCAAACGTACGTTAAATGAAAATTTTACGAATTTAAATTCAATATAACTCGGAATTTGAATAATCACAACATTCACAATCAGAGCAATACGAACTACTTTAACGACGCAACGTTGGCAACATTAGGTTTCTTGTGCATATAATTAGTTATTGGCTGACCTGGTAAGCAAATCAAAAGCACTAAAAGCAGTCAAAAGAGAATGGTGTGTGCAAGTTGACAGCTGGTCAACCAAAACAAAGCCATTGAAATGATTATTTTGATTTTATAAAACATGTTTTCAGTGTTGTACATTTAGTTAAAGTGAATATAAAGATGGCATCAGTGAAAGTGGCTGTTAGGGTTCGACCCTTCAATCAAAGGTATTTTACCATGCATCAGTGCACAAAAGGAGTGCATTGAACCTATTTTTATTTTTAATGAGGCTATTTTCTAGGGAAAAAGATTTGGACGCGCAATTAATAATACAAATGAGAGAAAAAACTACAGGAATTTTAAATTGCAAGGTATCTTCACAGAGAAAATTATGTGACGAATTAGAAATGTTATTTTTCTTTTAGGCAAATACTAGAGACGAAAATATTAGATACAAAGAATTTACATTTGACTATTCCTACTGGTCCCATGATAACAAATCTGAAAATTATGCTTCTCAGGAAATGGTATACAACGATTTAGGAACCGAAGTAGTTGATTGTGCTTTCGAGGGCTATAATGCCTGCGTTTTTGCTTATGGACAAACTGGAAGTGGAAAAACTTTTACTATGATGGGTGGTCCTGTGAGTAAAATTAAATCACTAATACTTCCAACTGCACTTCATGAATAATTTTTGTTTTAGGAAAATCAGGGCTTAATCCCGAGAATATGCAAAGCTCTGTTTGAGAGAATGTCTGAAAATTCAAAAAGGGGAACAACTCACAGGGTGCAAGTTAGTTATTTGGAAATATATCAAGAACGAGTTGCTGATCTACTTAGGGGGCGTGATAATAATTCTTTAAAAGTTCGAGAACACCCCAAAAAAGGACCGTATGTTCAAGGGCTCACAACTTGTCTAGTAACTAACTACGGACACATACAGGAGTGTATGGAGAGGTATGGGAAAGTTATTATAATAAAATCTAGCATTAAATATATTTTCAATTGCAGAGGTAATTCTCATAGAACGACAGCTGCAACTAATATGAACGACGTTAGCAGTAGAAGTCATGCCATTTTCACTATAACATTTGTTCAAGCAGGCTACTGTGATGGAGTTCCCAGTGAAACAGTTTCCAAGGTACCGTAATTTTAATCTAAAACCCAAACTGTCAGTGTCATTCGTTTTAAACTTCAGATCCATCTAGTAGATTTGGCTGGAAGTGAAAGGGCCGATGCCACTGGTGCTACTGGCCAAAGGTTAAAAGAAGGTGCTCACATCAATAAATCACTTGTTACTTTAGGTTCTGTCATATCAGCTTTGGCTGAATTGTCCAGTGAACAGAACGGCCAACGAAAATCCGTGTTTATACCTTACCGAGATTCCGTCCTGACTTGGTTGTTGAAAGACAGTTTAGGTGGCAACTCGAAAACTATAATGATAGCAGCGATTAGTCCAGCAGGTAAGTGTTTGTCGGTAATTTAATGTAAGTAATTAAAATATTTTAATTCAGACTGTAATTACGGAGAAACCTTGAGTACGTTGAGATACGCAAACAGAGCTAAAAACATTATTAACCAACCTACGGTCAATGAAGATCCTAATGTTAAACTTATTAGAGAACTTAGGGATGAAATTAGTAAACTTAGGGCTCTCATGTTTTGCGAACAGAGGTCCGATATGTTGGCCCAACTGCACGAGAAGGAAGCAAGAGAAAAGGTAACATTTTTTTAGGTGGAAAATTAAGTGATTTATGTTTTATGGTCACTGATTTAGGAATTAACGGAAGAGTGGACGGGTAAATGGCGAGAAGCGCAGGCTATACTTAGAGAACAAAGAGCGTTGGGTTTACGCAAGGCTGGACCAGGAGTTGTTTTAGACTCTGATAGACCGCATTTAGTTGCAATAGATGATGATCCACTGACGACTGGAGTCACATTATATCACTTGAAGGTAAAATATTACGTTTGTTTCTATGAATATTACGAAAGCAGTTACAAATATGGTCATGAGATTAGACTACAATGGGCAATAAATATTAATTATTCACATTAAATTTTCATATGTTGCTGCATGCATAATAATAAATGTAAAATAAAAAATATTGTAATATTCCATAAAACTGTATTTAGTTTTGAAGAAATTGGAGCAAATATTTTATAAAAACTGTTATACATATTTAATACAGGGTGTTACTAAGTAACTTTAATGGGCGATTTGTGAAAAAAGCCTGATTTTCGAGTAATCCTTAAAAAACCAACTGAAAACACTTACTCAAATGATATGACAAGCACTAATCATTCAGATATTTATTTGATAAATTTTTTCGAATAAATTTACATAAGTACATGTGCCCAATTGCAAATTATTTCACTTACTAGTTTTTAAATTATTTAAAAATATTAAAAATATTTTTTGAAGTTTAACACCCTGTATCTTTTTAACGAAGCGTCCTAGATAAAAATTTTATAGGAAAGACTCGCTTTATAATTCACCAAAGAATACGAGGTTTCATTTTTGGTCACCATTTGTGAATCACCCTGTATGAATATTTGTTAACTATATTTAATGTATAAATCGAATCATATTTACAGATGTTACATATTTTAAAATGAAAATGTGCAACTTTTAAAAAGATAGTTGAAAATTTTTACTTTTATGACTAAAAAAAATTCCTAGATTATGCGGTTGTGCTCGTGCATATGTTTGTAAATAATGGATTCCTGGAACCGCATGGATTAGTGGCAATTAACCCATTAATTATAATTTGCATGGTTCACAACCAAGGTACAAATAATTTGCATTTATTTTTGGCATTTTGTCACAAATTGTGATTGATTAAATGATTTTATTAAATTTGTTTTATTACTGTTATACAAATATTTAAGAAGATATAAATTTTTTTAAATGCATTTAAGGGGGGCTACATTAGGAGGTTCAAAAAATTTGATTTTTTTTATCACATAAATTGTTAGTAAAACTATTCAAGAATACCCTGCCAAAATTTCAAAATGAAGTTTCTATTCGTTCAAATTTTATTATCCTAAAACCGAATGCCCATTGGGTTAGCGTTCGGGCGCACAGCAGATATGGCGGAGCGCTTGTTCAGGTGGTCTAGTTACTTATTAACCAAGAAAAGAACAGATGCAATCTGAGAATGATGCCTATGAGTAAGAAGGACAGTTATATGGTGCTCGAATCGCTGATTTATCGGAAAGCATTCTACATTATTGATAACTTTCTCAAACTTCTAGTTTGTGAAAATTTTCAAACGAGTCTTTCTCGAAACGACATTTTTATTTAATTCACGGGAACTCTAGATCAAAAAGTTATGAACCGATCGTTATGAGAATTGAATTTATGAAATTACAGAGAACATGAACCAACAATTGGGATATCATAATTTCGATACATTTTTTTTCAAACACTTGTCAAAACCTCTATTTTCACAATTTTTACCCTCAATAGATTCATATTCTTAGAAAACATGTTAATAGTGTAAAAAACAATCATGTTGCTTTTACATCAAAATTGTGACCTCCACATTTCCCTCTCGTGAACAAGTAACTCAGACGATTACCTTCGGTGGACAACAACCCATAACTTTGGCATTTTCAAAGCAAATGACTTGAAAAAAATTTGTAAATGTAGTTCAAAATATTAATAAAGTAATGTCAAATTTGATCAAATTCTAATCAATTTGTTCCATTCAAAAAAAATTCATGAGAAACGTCTGAAAATCATCCTCCTAATGTGGTTACCCCCTCTTAAGATAACCGGCTACTTGTTTTGGATTGTATGAAAAATTATGAACAACCTTATTATTTCAAGCAAAGCATAGCTACAAACAAGATTAAATACATGCTGAAGGAAAAATAAAAAAATTAAGGAAAAGATTGATTATTAGACTCAATTCAATGTATGTTTATAATAAATATTCATTCCATATTTATAATAAATATTATTCCAGGATATTTCAGTACAACCTTCGAGGTTTTTTGATGAAATATTCATCTTCTAGAAATTATGTAATAATCCCCAAAATTATCATAGATATGAATGATGAGTAACAATACAAGAAGTTTTAAAAAATTTTTGTTTGAGGCTGGTATTTTATAGACAAGAAATATCACTTTTAGTAAGACCATGATAAATCAAGAAAATAGTATTTAAGCTATAGACATGTTGAAATACAGTACCTATAGACTCTTTAATCCGAACTCGCCTTAATCCGAATATCTACTAATCCGGACCGATGATCCGATGAATGCCCGTTTGGATGGTCCGAACAAAACTCTTTAATTCGAACAAAATTCGGTTTAACGTATATAGTTTGGATTATAAAGTCAGACTACATAATAAAAAGTAATTGTTAAAAACGTAATTCCCCAGCAGTCTCGGGGAAACCCTTTTATGCGAGTCGGAACCTTTCTCGATCTTTTTAGTTGGAATATTATTGCCGTGCAAACATGTCGCAAAAAAGAAAGCATCACACGTTAACCCTTTTGCAAAATGTGGATATTCTAAATAAATTTGTTTTTTTTTTAAATCTTTTTTATTTTTAATAAATGCATATCCATATTTCACGATAATGTTTGGTTTTATTGTTATTTTTTGCCTTCTCAGTAACACATAAAATCTAACTCATATTATATGTATGTACATAAACATTTACATATGTACATATTTAGGTACTATCCAGTAATCCGAAAATATCGGTAATTCGAACTTATCTCTTTAAGCCCGTGTCTTAATTAGTTCGGATTAAAGAGTCTATACTGTACAAGGATTCCTTTAATTTTTCAGGAAAACAAGCACCCATGTAAACATCGGAATATAACTTTCCTGTTTTGTTGAGAATTTTGTAAAAAATACTCGATAATTATGATTAATTCACATGTTAATAGTTTCATAAAAGCATTCTGCGGGGTGTGATTATGTTTATACTACCCTACGGCATTTTCTGTACATTCAACAGGTGTGTGTAAAGTTCAGGAAATATAGTAATAAACATATTAAGTATAGATATGCTTTTTTTTCCTTATTCTGAATGTATTGTCAGCTTGTAAAATGGAGAAAACTTGTATAAATGATACAGTGACGAATGTTTCTAACTTGCTTAGATTTTCTAAAACTTGTCAAAAGACTTCTATAAATTCACTGAAAATTATGTATAAAAACCTTGAGTGTTATTTATTCATGCCATTATTTTTGTCTGCATCAAGCTCTTTTAGTAAAATAAATTTTAATAAAGTTTTATTTACTTTCCTATAAGCTTAAGATTTTCCATTTCATTGAAATGTTGAGCTAACATTTTCTCTGAAATTAATTATTTTTGGCAGTTATATTTTCCGTTTATTTGAATGTTTTGCCAGTTGTGAAAAAATAGAAAATTAGTTAAACTGTTGAATTAAAAGGATCGGTCAAAGTTGTTTTAAATTTGAAAACGGAAATAAATTCAGTTTTGAATTTGATTGGCTTACGATTTTATGAAACTCAGCCGCGATGACTTATCTAAACGATTTCTGCGTTTTAACGTGACACCAAATTTTTATATTAATTCGAATTAGCTTAATACTTTTTAAAGAAAATAAAAGGCAGTCCCTTATATTTTATGTCAATTAACTGAAAAATTAATACGATTTAGGAAGGGAAAACTACAATTGGTACCGAAGACGCAGAAGTCAAGCAGGACATCGAATTAAGAGGTGCTGGTATGGAACCGCAACATTGCGCCATAACTTTCGAAAATGGTGTTGCCACTTTAGAACCACAGTCTGGTGCTCATATAATGCTTAACAGCACGCTGTTAGAGTCGCCAGCAAGGCTGTCGCAAGGTTGTATCATCTTCCTTGGCAAGGCACATGTTTTTAGGTAAAACTTCACTAATAAAAACTGAAGTTGTGATTGATAATTCACCTCAATCGTTAGGTTTAATGACCCCGCCGAAGCTGCACAATTAAGAAAAGGAGAGAAAACCTACAACTTGTCTCGTTTGAGTTTGTTAAGTTGGTCGACGCCAGATTTGGCGGTCTCGATGGAAAATTTGCAGTCGTGAGTAGATATTTTACGTTATTTGGCTTCAGCAGTAAGCCGTTAATTTTTTAGGACTCTGGATGATGATAAGACGGAGATCGAGATCCAGAGGTTAAATTTCGAAAAGGAGAAGGAGCAGTTTGAAAAGGAACAGGAAGCGTTTGAGAAAAGACAGGAGGCTTTTGAGAAAAGGAGAAGAACTCTTGAGCTGGCGCAAGCGAAGTTAGAGGCAGAGAAAATATCTGTGCAGAAGGAACACGCCGAACAGGTGAGTTTTGTATTGATTTACTGTCGGTTAAATTTGCTATTAAAAACTATCCGTAATGGGCTCATGTATTAAGAAATGGCAACGATCAATTTAGATAGAGGTGTTCAATTTGAAGTATTTTTTTCAGATGCTTAACTTTCATCCGAATGAATGGATGAATGAATTAGTTATTAAGCATTTAATTTTGAAAAGAAATATAATTATTACGAACAAAATTAAGAAACAAAATTTTTTATGAAATAAAACTTTTTCATGTCTTTTTTAAAATTTATACAATGTTTTTCAATTTTTCCACCACGTGGCGCTTGTCAAAATTAATTGATTATCAACGATATGTGTGTTTTTTTTAGAAGTTTGACTTTTAAGTTAGCAACACTGTTTCTAGTGAGAACCATTTTGACAATTGACAACTAATCAGTACGTTTTGCCATTTCAACATGAATCGTCCAGAAGAATGTTTGTAAATTGTGCAAATTTATTTCAAAAATCGTGATTCAGTTCGCCAAACTTACCGTGTGTTGCGTTCATTTTATGGTCGACATAATCTTCCAACGGAGCAAATTATTCAAGCAATCATTAAACGGTTTCGCATACATTAAATATTTATTTTACTTTTAATATTTTTATAAAAATTAAAAAAAACAACTTTCTCTAGCAATACAATTCATTGAATAAAATATGGTTAGAATGTAACAGGTCTTTTAACTACTATAAAATACAGTACTTGTATGTAATGTTGATATTGTAACATTCAATAATATTCTAGAAACAATTTACACAATAACTGTAACAGTTAATTTTAAAACAATATTTTATATGTCGACCTCTTCTGAGGCGGGTAAATAGAATATTGATAATTTTTTTTTAAATACGTAAAAAGACCTTACTTTTCAAAATATCGAAAGCACAATGAAATTATAAAAGAAAACTTGAAAAGTCAATAAAAATGTATTTTTCGGGGTCTGGCAATGACTCACAGACTTTTGTTTACACCATTCGAAAGAGCGCAAAAAAATAAGTAGATTTAAAAAAAAAGTACCCCGGTAGCCTCTTTCTAAGTGTCACAATTCATTTATTAGGTGAGAATTTTAAGAAGCCAGGCGCAGCATAGGCACTATGACGTCACAGCGCTCCCCTCTCCTGGCTACCGCTCAGCCGCGTGGACTGCCGGGCGGATCACTCTGTCTTTAACACACGTTTANCCCCAAGTATATATTCCATTTTATCATAATAATAGTCATGTTATTTCATACGTTACGCTATTTTTCGTCCTATAATATTATTTTCAAAGGTATTACTCCTAATATAACGTTTTAACATTATTTCGGTAGATCGGATATACAATTATACTGTGTTCTTTTCTTCTCAAATTCTTGGTTTTGTAAATAGCCAATAGAGTTGAATCTTTTGACGTGATGACGTGTTTCGTTCGGCTTTGTCTGTCGGGGCACGGCGCATGACTCCGTGTTTGACTCAAAAGTGTGGTGCGCCGTGCGGTGTCGCGGTGTCGGTGTAACTCAATTGCGTTAACGCAATAATAATTTTGGTATCAGCGCAGTGGCGCAGGCTATTGCTTCAGCGCAATAACGCAACGCAGTACTGCGTTACCCATCTCTACTGTCTAGCAATATAATTCATTGAATAAAATATGGTAGAATTGAATGTAACAGGTCTTTTTACTACTATAAAATACAGTACTTATATGTAATGTTGATATTGTAACATTCAATAATATTCTAGAAACAATTTACACAATAACTGTAACAGTTAATTTTAAAACAATATTTTATACGTCGACCTCTTCTGAGGAGGGTAAATAGAATATTGATAATTTTTTTTTAAATACGTAACAAGACCTTACTTTTCAAAATATCGAAAGCACAATGAAATTACAAAAGAAAACTTGAAAAGTCAATAAAAATGTATTTTTTGGGGTCTGGCAATGACTTTCACAGACTTTTGTTTACACCATTCGAAAGAGCGCAAAAAAATAAGTAGATTTAAAAAAAAGTACCCCGGTAGCCTCTTTCTAAGTGTCACATTTGTTAGGTAAGAATTTTGAGAAGCCGGGTGCAGCATAGGCACTATGACGTCACAGCGCTCCCCTCTCCTGGCTACCGCTCAGCTGCGTGAACTGCCGGGCGGATCACTCTGTTTTTAACACACGTTTACTTGGTCATTTCTTGGTCGAATCCATTAAAAAAAAGTTCTGCGGATAAAGGAAGTCTTCTACTTTACAACGAGCCCAAATTTATTACAAAATATTAAATAGAACAGCCAGAATACCGTTTTTAAGAAAAAAAATTATCTGGTCTATTGGTGGAATCGAGAAATTTTTTTAAATTCATGTTTTTTATAAGATAAGGACTCTAGTTACCGTTTTTTTTTTTTTGATTTTTTGTTAATAACTTTTTTATTTCGCAACTTAAAAATCTGAAATTTACGTAAACGCGATCCTTTTTTTTTACAGAATTTCGATATCTTGACTTGGGCAGAAGATATAAGCGCTCGTATTTTCAACTTTATAATTTTGCAATAGGCCGCCATTTTGAAATTGAGGGGTCCGGATTGCAGGTATTTCTTGAGCACCCCAACAGTTATCTTTTCCTGTAGTTTCATCTATTTTCAGTAAAATTTGTTATTTTTACTTAATACTGAAAATTTGGCACATTTTTTTCTTTACCACTAATTTTCCAATGTAAAAAAAATTTTACAAGCTTTCGCAAAAGCCTATTCTTGTAACAAATTTCCTCAGGAACAAAATCGATAAGTATATCTCGTGTCGATTAGAGGCTTATTTTCAGAGATATAAGCGAAAAACTGAAAAAAAGCAATTGTTTCTTTGTCTGTTATAAACAATATGATGGTCAACCTCTACAAATACACAAATTTGGGTTTTTATTCTGTGTATTTTTTACTTAATTTTAAGCCCATAAAATTTGAGTTAGCCCCATTTTTGAAAAAAAACCTAATTCACCCGGACTGCAGTGCGCACCAAAGAAGTTGTTGCTGCTGTAAAGCGCAGTGTTGAGGAAGGTCCAAATAAGCCGATTTGCCATTGTGCACAGCAACTGGAACTTTGCCCCCAAACTTACAAGATCCAGCTTGTGCAAGAGAGCTGCATCCGTTGTACGTTCGGAAGATTGCTCTTGATAATCATTTTTACTACAAAATCTTGTTCAGTGATTAGGCTCATTTTTGGTTGAACTCTTGTTGTCAACAAACAAAATTGCCAGCTTTGAAGCGCAGAACAACCAGATGCCGTTACATCCACAAAAAAGTCACGGTTTGATGTTCTTATAGGCTGGTGGAATCATCGACCCATATTTTTTTAGAGATGATACCGGTCAGAATGTTACAGTTAATGAAAAACTCTATAGGTCCATGATTACTGACTTTTTTTTCCTCAATTAAATGACATTCATGTGGAACAGGTTTGGTTTCCACAAGACAGCGAACATGCCACATAGCACGCGACACAGTCAGATTATTGCAAGAAACATTCGATGAGCACATAATTTCACATAATGGTCCTGTGAATTGGCCTCCATGATCATATGATCTCACCTTTATGGGAATATGTGAAGTCGTTAATCTATGCGAATAAACCCGAGACATTAGACTAATTGGAAGCCAATATTCGCAGAATTATTGTCGACATATGGCCACAGCTGCTCGAAAAAGTGATCCAAAATTGGACTTTCAGGTTGTGTTTCATTCGAACCAGCCGCGTAACCATAATTTTAATGTGTTTATCTCATTTTAAAAGCCTATTCCTTTAAAAAAAAACAACCTTCTAACCTTCAAAATATAGGTAATAAAGCGCAATTAATTTTTAACCATTAGACAACATCTACGAGGGTTGATTTTATATTTCGGGAATACAGATGAAAAAAGAAATTATTCATCGTAGATGGCTTTATTGTTTTTCAAAATATTCTCCATGAAGATCAATATAATCAATCTAACATGCATTTTGGTCGCATCAACCGCTTCTTCAGGCATCGAAAAATATTGACCTTGTAATTGATTTTTGATGTGTGGGAATAAAAAAGTCATTGGGTGCCAAATCGGGGCTGTACGGCGGATGACGCATCAATTTAACTTTTTCAGTTCTCAAAAAGTCTCTTGATTGAGCCGATGTGTGAGAGTTCTTGGCAAACAAATAGCCGTTCAACATTGCACTAATGGTACAGTTACCACATGTCCAGTTTTTTCAAAAAAGCAGACCATTTGCTTAGAATTGCTTCATACATAAACAACTTTTGTTGGATTTGGCTCATCTTGAAAAACATCTTACAATTTTTAAAATGATTTTGAAAATTATGGCGGCAATGTAAAACCTTCAGTTACTAAAAACAGGATACCTCGATTACGTATTTACGTATTGACATTTTTTTGTAGACCCGCCAATTACAAGAAGATTGGCGAAATCTGACCACACAGCAAAGACAGCGTGAATCAGAATTACAAGAAAAGGAAAAGGAACTTATTCTAAGACGAGCGGAGTTGGAAAGAGAAAGACAAAAAATTATGGGCGAAGTTAGTAACTTGTTTTTTAATATTCCTTAGAAAAGTTCTTTAGTTTATTTACTATACTTTTATTTTATTTATTTTTTCTGTAGATAAGTCAAGAATGTGAAACACTGCAAGATATTAAAGCAGGCTTTTTAAACAAATTCAATAATGCTTGCCAATTAGTTACATCACATGCCAATGAAATTACCTTTCCTAATCCCCAAGCCAAGCGACTGTTTCAGGTATCGTTTTAATTTCGTTTAGTTTGTATTATTTCGATTTAATTTCCACTATTTATTTCTTAATATCTACTATCGTTTATAATGGACTTTAATATTCCTTTCCTTTTAGGAACTAGTCTCGAAATCAGACACTATTCCATTAACAGATAGTGAAACGGATAGTTTGGTGAATATTTTAAATAACGTTAAAGCGTCTTCCATTATACAAGATCTCGTCAGCCAACACGTAAGTAAAAGTGTTATCGGCGATTTCCAGATAACTTTTAATTCCAGCAAATTCAACGAAAATTAGTAAAAGACAATTTTTATTGAAGCGATTTTTAGATTTCTGTATATTCCTTGTAATTTTTAGAGGAAGGAGTTGGCAGAACTGCAATTCGAACTAAATAAAAGGGTTCAAACAGTTTGCGAAAGACAAAAAAGTGTAGAGTTATTAGATAAAAAAATAATAGATTTAGTAGACGAACAGAAATCGTTACGTTTAGAGGAAAATACGGACGAACAACTGGAAAATTTGAAGGAATCTCTGTCAAAAAGAACCGAAGATGAATTAAAGAGAATCGAACAGAAGAAGCAGGGGTAAGTACCATTGACTTAACTAAAAAAATTGATCAACTCGATAAGTTTCTGTACAAAGTATGGATAAATTTATTAATTGTGTGTTACGTATAAATTGTGCATTTTAGTTTGACTTTGAATTTGTCCAAAGTTAATTCCGTACAAAGTCCGGAATCTTTTAATGGCAATGGTTGTGGTACGGAGAAGGGGACGCTTAGTAGCGACACTTACCACACAGCAGCGAGCAGCTGTTCCCCGGTCTTAAACGTGAGGAAACCCGAGTATCTTATGAGCGACAGCGGTGTTGAACTGAGGCCTGCGTCTATGCCACCGGATGAAAGTGACCTCTCCAGTAATGAAGACAAGGTAACAGTTTTGAGGGGCTTTTGTGTATAATTTTTTTGTTTTTGAGGTGTCTCTCTTTTCGTGTGTTTTTCTTTTTTGTGTGTAGATTTATATACCGGGTTTCTCATTTTTAAAAATACACGTGAATATTTGAAAAATTTTTTCAAATAAAAGTTGTAGGGTTTTGAGGAGGACATCTAATGGTGATTTTGAGCATGACCTTCAAGGTAATTTCAAGGTCAAGTTGATTTTTTCAAACGGAAACACATTTATGACACCAGAAATGAAAAGAGCAGAAAATTTTACATCTGGTCATGACCTTCAAGGTTATTTGGAGGTCATTTTAGTTTTTGTTGCAAAATTCTACTTTTGAGACCAGAAATGAGAAGAGCGGGCCATTTCACGTCCATCTATGACATTCACCTTGACCTTCACGGTCATTTCAAGGTCAAGTTAATTTTTCAATAGAAACCGGTATCTTTCAGACCAAAATAAAAAAGTGCGGAGAATTTTGTTTCTGGATATAACCTCGATCATGACCTTCAGTTTCAAAAGTAATTTGAAGGTGATTCTAGTATTTTGCAGGCAAAACTTTAATCTTATTCATATTTTTTTTTTTGATATGTGGGGCTTGCCATAATTTTCCAGAATACCTATTAACCCTTTGCGGCATGCATTTTTTATTCAAATGTTTTTGAACTCAGACTAGCTCAGAATTTAGTAATAGTTAAATCCGATACGGCGGATCCAATATGTCGAATACTCGGCTCGACCTTGAGTTTTAACGTAGGTTGAAGCATTTTCAAAGTGTTAAGCCATATGAATATTAAATGTTTACCAGAAATTGGTCGGCTATATTGGATTTGAATATTTTCAAATTCTGACTTCATATTCGAGATCAGCGCCCTCGAAAACCCCCCGAGTACACTATTCGACAAGACGGAAATGAATTTTGCAAGAAAAAACTAAAATGACCTTCGAATGACCTTCAAATGACCTTGAAGGTCATGGTCAAGGTCATAGTCGGATGTAAAATTTTCTGCTCTTTTCATTTCTGGTGTCAAAAATATGCTTCCAATTGAAGAAATCAACTTGACCTTGAAATGACCTTGAAGGTCATGGTCAAGGTCACCATTAGATGTCCCCTCAAATCTCTACAACTTTTATTTGAAAATTTTTTTCATTAAACCCTTAACTTAAGAGATATTCATGTGTATTTTTTAAAATGGGACACTTGGTATAAAGAAGAAGGGAACAGGGCCAAATATGATGCCTTGTCAGTCACTCGATTATTCATTTTTTCTTAATAGTACCTGTCTGATGTTGCTTTTAAATAATTTTAGTGTTTTTCCCAAATTACAATTTGTCTTAAAGTATTTAATAATAATTCATGGCTTCTTCAAATCATAGAATAAATTAGATTCGCTTTTATCAAATGCAATATATTATCTTTTGTTAGTTAAAATTAATAATGCGTCTTGCGTAAATACCCCCTTTTTTAAACCCGTACTGATTTTTTGACATTAAATTCTGATAATTTTTGACATCAGTCTAGTTTTTAAAACGTTTGGAAATAATTTAGAAAAATATGTGTTATCAAAAATGTAGGCCTATATTAGCCTTTTTCCTCGGAAGGTTTGAAAAATACCTTTAGCGGCAGCACAGGTAGGGGTACAAACATTTTTATTCTGCTGTCTAAAGTGCATTTTTATTATCGAAATTAATATACAGGGTGTAAATGATAAGTTTAGTCAAACTTTAATGGCGTATTCTACCAATGAAAATAATCAAGTTTTGCCCTATAAATTTTTTTTTAGGACGCTTCCCTATGGAGATACAGGGTGTTAAAAGTTTCAAATATTTATATTATGTGAAGTTACATGAAAAATAATATAAATATTTAAAACTTTTAACACCCTGTATCTCTGTAGGAAAGCGTCCTGTCAAAAATTTGTATAGGGCAAATCTTGATTATTTTCATGTGTAGAATACGCCATTAAAATTTGGTTAAACCTATCATTTACACCCTGTATAAACTAAATAATAAAATAAAAAAATTCAACATGCAACTAAACTTGTGCATTTGCAAATTGTACTTCTGAATGTCGATTTAAGCAAAAGGGTGTTAAATTTGTGCCTTTTATAAAATCACATGTGGACTAACAAAAGTATTTGGAGTGAATTCATCTGTCTCTTAGAACTGCTTTAACAGTTGAAAAAATAAAAAAGCATACGTATGTACAAAATATTTATTAATTGAAATGGACCAACATTTGAAAACCAAAATCCATTAGCAGCAACTGTATCAAAAGTTCTAAACACTTGCCATTGTCAATTCCAACAATAATATTTTTTATCATGCCATTCGCGATACATGTATAAGTAATTAAATTCATGCAAAATATTGGAATAATCATGAGAGTATAACGTCCTGTCAATAAAAGAAATATATCAACAATTAACCTCTCGATTAAAACGCTTTTATTACCGGAAACAGGCAAATTGTGACATGTTAACCATCATTTTAGATCGCGGACAATATAGTCTTGGACTTTTGAAAATTTTAATTTAGCACCAGGTGTATCATCTTCTGTTAATTCCATTTTAAAAACGCCACATTTGACATTTCTTTAAAACTCTTATAGACGCTCCATCTTACCTTGGTACTTACCTTGACACTTACCTTGACACTTACCTTGATACTTGCCTTCAAGCCAGATTTTTATACTGTACACGCAAGAAAAGTCTTAACACGGTCCGTCTTGCCTTGAGACTTAGGCAAGTATCAAGGTAAGATGGAGTGGCTATGGAAGCCTTTAGATTGCAGAATAAAGCTAAGTACTCACAGCGCGTTTTGCGTTTTATTTTTTTGCGGCGATCATTTGATTGGATTAATTTTATTTTGAATTTTGGAAGGCAGGAATTGTTTAACTTTATTTTTGCAGCATTTTCTAGCGCGAAATGTTAAAAAAGTTTTAAGATTTTGTGACGAAAATCCTCTCCCCTCTTTGTCAATAAAATATTATTTACACTCTTTCCAATGAAAATATGAAATAAACGTCACACATTTTTAGAAATATGAGTTAGAGGTTATAATTGTAATAAATATGAATAATTATGTAGTTAATTATAATTATTATATATGTGAAAGACGAACTTTATTAAGATTATTATATTTAAAACATGAATTTACTAGTACTGAAGTCCATTCCAAACGGTTTTGGGTTAGAAACATATATTTAAAAAGAACAATTTTTCATAATCTAATATAAGAAATGCGACTTAAGTGACAGAGATACGTTTTTCAATGACTAGAATGTCTAGTGAACAATTCGATATTCTTGTCAGTGAAGTGAAACCCGGATTAAGAAAATGTATATCAAGAGAACCTATTTAACTTGCCGAAAGACCGACTGAAGTCTACTGCAAGTTATAATTAAGAAACAATGTATACGCAACATTTCTTTTTTGTTAGATTTCTAGTTTCCGGGGACAGTATGGCCTGTATTAGTTACATTTTTCTCCAAAGGAAAACAATAATTTCTAACATAATAAAGAAACATGTATAGCAATCTGGAATGTTTTGAAGTACGTAGCATTTATAAAACCTGAAAAAGAATGGTTGAGAATTTATCAAGATTTTGAAAACCAATGGAATTTATAGATTAACTTTAATTGATTTATAGAAAACAGTGAACTTATTTTTGCTTCGATCATGACTATAAAACATGTACATCCTTCAAAAACCTGCCCATGACATTTTTCCGAGGAAAAAGGCTAATTTGGTTGTTATATATTTTCCCTCTTTATGAATAGGAATAGCTGCTGATTGTTTAAATGCAGAATGCATTTATTAAAAATAACTTAACGGTTTCGTAATATAATCTGATGTTGTCTTGAGTATATCATCTTTTATATTACCTATTCCAGGTACCTCCTTGTTTTTATCCGATTAATTAATTGTTTGATTTCTCATAATCATCTGTAGATAAGATAACCATACTGTTTTTAATTGATATTTCAGATATATTGAACTTTGTGAGTGAGCTGATATAGCCTATAATGTTTTGGGTTTGATCTTGATGCATCGTTACAATATTTAATCGAAATTTTATTATAATTAGTTTAATATTTTTTTTATCCATTTTATTTTTGTTTATTCTGATTTTCTAGAAGAAGTCCAAATATAATTTTTTTATTTTATGGAATTTATTAATCTGTTTGCAATTTCTACTTATTTCTTTTGATTTTCGTACTATAAATTCATGTTTTTATAGCAGTTATTATTATCTCAATTATTATATTATTTGCTGCCTTCTTGATATCAACTGCCATATACACTAATTGCCAATTTTGGCTGTTAAAGACATTTAAAATTTATCATAATTAATATTACATACAAAGTGAATACTCGCAGATTCACTTTTTTGCATCATAATCTGACATTATTTGAAAAGTATCAATTATTTACTTATTTAAAAAAGTTATGAAAATAATATTAATTACTTCTTTCCATACAGTTGGTTGTAAGTGACTCACAATCTACAAGTTCCATAGAAAATCATTCCCCAGTGATCAAGAAGAATAAGAAGAGGGAAACGGAATTACTGCTAAGAAGACTGGTGCAAAGGATCACTCAACAAAAACAACTTATTGTACGGAATTTGGACAATCAGTGCCCTAAAGCACATTTAGATTCTCAGATAGCTGTAAGTATACTTTATCCAATCAGTCTTGAAAAGGGTACGCAGAAATAGGTTTCGGACATTTTTTATTTAAATTTCTAGTTTCTAATTAGGTTGAAAAAAATTCAGATTTTTTTTTTTTTAACAACTAAATTGTATTGTTTTATATTAAGGTATTGCAAGAACTGCAAAGACAGTACATGTCCCTAAAATATGGTTGTGTGTCATCTTTGTCTCCTACAACGGAGCACCCGCTGCAAGATATCGACAGTCCCAGTCCCATTAGGCCTTTACATACAGGATCTACATCTGCCTTATATTCCCCGCCGTTTCAAGTAAGTCCTTTTTATTCCGGACGAATTTCAAAATATTCCACACTTAGTATCCGTTTCTATGTCTAAGTGCATTTCTTTCCCATAGAATCAACGATTGTCTCCTTACAACCAGAGTTTATACAGATCAATGCCATCCATAACAACCGGTGGGTATTTACGAATTTAAAAATAATAAATAAATAAAGGCGCTTCCCTTTTCAGATGTAGACTGGGATTCAGTTGTATCTATAACGAGCTATTGCCTTAGAGGAGCCGGGAGCAGTACGCATTACGAGTATGAGGTTAGGATATACACTGTTGACGATCGGTGGTGCATTCTTCGGAGATACAGTCGATTTAGGGATCTGCATATTGCAATGAAGGCTCGATATAGGGACAAGGTAGGTAACTTTGTTTCTAATTTCAGTTAGTTAAAATATTTTTTATTGAGCATAAAAAAATTCTCATTTATTCTTGGAAATTTTTGAAATTAAAGGGAAATTTGAAAATTTGGAAGATTCAAACCAAAAAGTGTAGGTTTTGACAAGTTTAGGACAAGTTTTTGAGCGTGTCTTTTTTAGAATCAAACAAGAAATTTTAATATCTTTTTTTTTTGTATAGAAAGACGACTTGCGTAGAGCTTGTAGCCCCAGGCCTCACCATAGGTTAATCCGGCCTGCATATTGTAAATAAATTAATTACTGTTGTTAATTATACAGGGTGTTCAAAAGGTTTGGAACCCCCCCCTATCAGAAAATACTGCTCAAACAAAAAAATGACTAGGACAAAAGTTGCAGGGTTTTGAGTGAGCAATCCAACGGTGACCTTGATCACGACCTTGAAGGTTATTTAGAGGTCAAGTTGAAAATTTGAAATGGAACCCTATACTTTTGACCCCGGAAATGGTAAGAGCGGAAAATTTTACGTTCGAAAGTGACCTTGACCATGACCTTCATGGTCATTTAGAGGTCAACCTGAAAATTTTAAATGGAACCGTATATTTTTGACCCCGGAAATGGTCACAGTATTTTCAACAGCCTGTCTCCGAAGGTTCTCATCAGTGGAAAAATTACCGAGATGTTAAGGTTAAAAGTGAGCAGTCGAACGGTGACCTTGACTGTAACTTGATGGTCGTTTACAGGTCAATTTGAAAACTTTTTGAATCAAATTTTTAGTCCAATATATTAGATCCGTTCCGGGGTCAAAAATATACAGTTCCATTTAAAATTTTCAGGTTGACCTCTAAATGACCTTGAAGGTCATGGTCGAGGTCACATTCGAACGTAAAATTTTCCGTTCTTACCATTTCCGGGGTCAAAAGTATACGGTTCCATTTAAAATTTTCAACTTGACCTCTAAATGACCTTGAAAGTCATGGTCAAGGTCACCGTTGGATTACTCACTCAAAACCCTGCCACTTTTGTCCTAATTATTTTTTTGTTTGAGCACCCTGTATGGAAGGTTATGATAACTCAAGCCACACAAAAGAAAACTGTCTGTACTTTTCATGCGACATATTATGTTATTCGTAGCATTTTTGCCTCCCAATCACTAATCTGATGTCAGAATAGAGCTATTACATCACAGGAATTTCCTAACCTCAAAAAACATCTCAAAAATAGCAAAAATCCACGAAAAAGTGCTAGGAAAAATACAAAAAACATTTTTTCTATATTCAATTGATCATTTATATGGTTAAGACCCCGCCGAACGTGAATCCGCGGTCAGAATTGATGGTTCTTTTTCTAACCTCAAAAAAATGAGTCAATGGTTAGATATCACGAATTTTCAAAAAATAATAGATTCGCACCAAATTTGGTTTACGGGGATTTTCGTGGTCGCTGATCACGGATCCAAGGTCAATTTTACAAAATTCAAGAAGGCGGATCGAAGATAGAAGACCAAAATTTCAAAAAATAACACATTCGCGCCAAATTTGGGATACGGGGGTTTTCGGGGTCGCTGATCACGAATTTGAAGTCATTTTTGCAAAATTTAAGATGGCGGATTCAAGATGGCCGACCAAATTTTCAAAAAATCACATTCGCGCCAAATTTGGTATACGGGGGTTTTCGGGGTCCACTGCTCACGAATCCGATATCAGATTTACAAAATTCGTTTTTAAAAATTTAATCGATTACCTATGTACTTTATTACCTGAGATTGATTAGGCCGAAAACTCGTGAATAAATCTTTTACAGAAAAAAGAACAAGATATAGAACAAGATATCTGTTTATTTATTTGTTTACGATGAACACGCCTACGACTAGCCGACGAAAACCCCGAACTCTAGTGATCAACGACCCCGAAAACCCCCGTATACTAAATTTGGCGCGAATCTGTTATTATTTTTTTAAATCTGGTCGGCCGTCTTGGATCCGCCATCTTGAATTTTGCAAATTTAACCTCGGATCTGTGATCAAGGACCCCGAAAACCTTCGTGTACCAAATTTGGCGCGAATCTGTTATTTTTTGAAAATTCGTGATATTTGAACATTATTGACTCGTTTTTTTGAGGTTAAAAATAGAACCATCAATTCTGACCGGGGATTCACGTTCGGCAGTCTTAACCATATAAATGAACATTTTAATAAAGTTTTTGTATTTTTCCCAGCACTTTTTCGTGAATTTTTTATATTTTTGACCTGTTTTTGAGGTTAGGAAACTCCTGTGATATGATAGCACAATGTCACCAGATTTGTGATCAGGGGTCAAAAATACTACGGATAACATATGTCGTATGAAAAGTACAGATAACTTTTTTTTTGTGTGGCTGTGTAATTTTAGCATAACAAGAAGTTCTTGACTTAACAAATTTTGTAGTAATTAACTACTACTATTAGTATTTGATTTTTCAGTAATTAGGTAGGTTTGTTCGTGTAATTTATTTTTTTATAGATTTGCATTTTAAACATCGTAATTTAATTTGCCGAAATTAATTTTTCCATCTTTTAGCGTTTTCTTTATCATAAAGATTGAGGATTATTCTAAATAATTTTCTTGACACATAACTTGGCATACTCACATTTCGTTTGTGTGCATGCATAACTAATTACCTTCCATGTGTGCAACAGTTCCCAAAATGTACATATGGATTGATGGATTAAAAAAAATATAGGTAGTGAAGATACTTAACAACTTAAAATTCGATCCATACAAAATTTCGAATAAATTTATTGCACTAGTGTTTGCGTTTGTTTTGTATCTGAATCGGATGTTTTGATTTACAAAGTTAAAAATTAAATTATCACTTTTTATTTAAGTCCATGCATTGAATCTGGTAGAGGAAATGTAGTACTTTTCAACAACAGCCCATTTTTTTCTCAACCTTAAGACATCCCGTGGTTTTAATTTTATTAAACGACCGTTTTTCCATAAAATATGGAAAAAATTCAGAATAGTAAAGTAGCCAACATAAACAATATATTACTAAATATTAAAAAATAAACTATTTTAATAAAAAAATCATCAGCCTGGTTTTTCTTGGAGTGTTTTCACGCATTTCTAGTTGAAACCACTCAATGTAAATTCTACTAATAGTGATCAACGACTCCGAAAACCCCCGTATACTAAATTTGGCGCGAATTTGTTATTTTTTTTAATCTGGTCGGCCATCTTGGATCCGCCATCTTGAATTTTGCAAAATTGACCTCGGATCTGTGATCAAGGACCTCGAAAACCTTCGTCTACCAAATTTGGCGCGAATCTGTTATTTTTTGAAAATTCGTGATATTTGACCTTAATTGACTCGTTTTTTTTTTTGAGGTTAAAAATAGAACCATCAATTCTGACCGGGGATTCACGTTCGGCAGAGTCTTAACCATATAAATGAACATTTGTATACAATTTTTGTATTTTTCCCAGCACTTTTTCGTGAATTTTTTATATTTTTGACCTGTTTTTGAGGTTAGGAAACTCCTGCGATGTGATAGCACAATGTCACCAGATTCGTGATCAGGGGTCAAAAATACTACGGATAACATATGTCGCATGAAAAGTACAGATAACTTTTTTTTGTGTGGCTGTGTAATTTTAGCATAAGTTCTTGACTTAACAAATTTTGTAGTAATTAACTATTACTATTAGTATTTGATTTTTCAGTAATTAGGTAGGTTTGTTCGTGTAATTTATTTTTTTATAGATTTGCATTTTAAACATCGTAATTTAATTTGCCGAAATTAATTTTTCCATCTTTTAGCGTTTTCTTTATCATAAAGATTGAGGATTATTCTAAATAATTTTCTTGACACATAACTTGCATACTCACATTTCGTTTGTGTGCATGCATAACTAATTACCTTCCATGTGTGCAACAGTTCCCAAAATGTACATATGGATTGATGGATTAAAAAAATATATAGGTAGTGAAGATACTTAACAACTTAAAATTCGATCCATACAAAATTTCGAATAAATTTATTGCACTAGTGTTTGCGTTTGTTTTGTATCTGAATCGGATGATTTGATTTACAAAGTTAAAAATTAAATTATCACTTTTTATTTAAGTCCATGCATTGAATCTGGTAGAGGAAATGTAGTACTTTTCAACAACAGCCCATTTTTTTCTCAACTTTAAGACATCCCGTGGTTTTAATTTTATTAAACGACCTTTTTCCATAAAATTGGAAAAAATTCAGAATAATAAACTAGCCAACATAAACAATATATTATTAAATATTAAAAAAGAAACTATTTTAATAAAAAAATCAACAGCCTGGTTTTTCTTTAAAAAGGAGTGTTTTCACGCATTTCTAGTTGAAACCACTCAATGTAAATTCTACTAGTAACGTTCGAAAATATTAATTTCAAAATTGACTAGGATTTCTAAGAAAGTCATAACGACATGGACTATTAAATTGTAAAATTGTGTACCAGGCCGGTTTACAAATTTCCACGATTGATCGCTTTCAGGTGTCCACAATACCGTTCCCCTCGAAAATACTCTTTTCAAACTCCGACTCTGTGGCTCAATCGAGGAAGCGTCAGTTGGAAATGTACTTACGACGGTTGATCGAGACCTGCAGAAACCATCCCATGTGTCCCTTAGCCTACGGCGGTCCAATTACCAAAGCTGCCTTGATCAACTTCTCGCCCTTCTTCAGAAAAGGTATTTTTGAGAACGGGAAATATGGGACTTCTTGATTAAAGCTTTAAACTGTTAAGAAAATAATATTAGTAAGAGAAAGAAGTTTACTAATTTTTAGTTCACATTATATATTTTTCTAATTTTGTGGTTAATTTTTTTATATTGTGGAGTTTATAAATATTTTTAAATAATCTTATTTTTATATTGGAAGTAGATCGAGGTTTTTAATTTATTTTACTGGTAGAGATGATTTTATTTCTACGGCTTGGTTTCACAGCTTTAATAGATAGTTTTTATCTTAAATTACGATTAATATGCACGAAACGGGTTAATTTATTTTAATGGCCCACGCCGTTTATTACTAACTTATTTTCTTAATCGTACGAATTTGGTTTGTAATAGATTTTAGCCTGATTTCAAGAAATCGCAAAGTATTTCACATAGATAATCCGAACGGTGATTATTCAATTGTGTTCATTTTTTAAGTGTGAATGTTGTTAGGTAAGAAAATGAATATCATTTGATTATTACTTTATTTCCTCATGGATTAATGGGAGTTCTAATCCAAATATCTGTTACATATATAAAAAATAGGTGTATAATTAGTTTCATATTACACAATTCATCCTGGTAGATCGATTTGAATGTCAACTGTCGGGAATAATTCTGACGTATATTTTTTTTACATCAATAAATATGATTTATGAAATTAATAACCAGGACACCTGTTAAAAATGTTTTTGGCGCACGATTCTAATGAGATGTAACTTTTAATGGGGGGTATTATTTATCTGGGGGCTACCTTTGACCTTTAGAAACACGTGTCATAAATTTATTTTCTAAAATTTCATCGTAAAAACGTGATTTTTTACTTTTCTTCGTAATTTTTATCCCTCCACTGGACAGACCAGGGGTTCTACCCAGTTAAGAACTACAGCATGCATTGTTGTCAACTCACATCTTTCTTGATACATATACACGTTTTCATAAAATTACACACAAATTTAACAATGAAGACACACAAACACATCGTACTGTCACTAAACACTAAAACAAATGATTCTCATTATGCCGAATAAAAGTTGGCCGTTTGTTTTTTATCTGCTCATTGTTCTGTTGTCATATCCCATCAGGTGGATTGATATTATGTAATTCGTCTAATAAATATTTACACTACACAAATCAGAGGTGAGATTTCACAAACTTGAAATGATTTTAATCTATTAAATTAGTAAGTGTTTTTATTTATTTTTAAGTGTAATTTATAAAACTGCAAAAATAATTATTTTAAACCAAATTCTTTTCGATTACCGTTGGTAGCATATGCCTATCCTACATACATAAAAATGTAAATTTTTTAAAACATCCAAAATTTTGTTAATGTTCCACGCTTCGTCCATATTGACGTAAAAACAATATGGTGACTTTAAAAAAATGTTGCAATTCGTACAAAAATCAATGTATTTTTACGGAATTATTTTCCATTGCAGTTGGTTTAAAAAGGTAATGACAAGTGACACTGATAACAGCACACATGTAACCGAGTTTTTTGTATTGTCCAGTGGCGGCGTAGACAAAAGATTAAGTGTAGTTTAAAAAACCAACTATAACAGCTGTTCGATTAAAAAAATAATAATAATTTCAGATTATTATTCTAGAAACACGCTATTATCATAAAAAACTGACCACTTAAAATTACACCATTATGAATTTTCCAAACAATTTTCTGGAAAATCATGAGACTTTTTTTTTATATAACCTTAATCTATATCTTTTACCATCTTTTTATCAAAATTCAGCAATTTGTATTACACTTCAAATTGTAACTTTGTGAAATTTCTGTTTCACTTCAAAAATGTAGGAGGCCATGGAAATGCCTGAGGATGAATAATTTATGACACTGCCGATTATAATTGGTAAATAATAGTTTGCTTACTATTTTCATAATTTTAGGCATGTGCTAAATTTTTTTATATTTGGGCTATAAGCACACATTATATTCAGTTATAATCAGCAGTATAGTCTTTTCGATTTCAGTTGAACATGTATAAAAACACGCAGCAATAAAATTTAATGAGTTTCATAGACGTCCCTAAAAAAATATTCCGCTAAAGGTAAAAATTATAATAATTTGCATATAACGAGTAGAAAATTTCTATTATATGTTCATTTGGTCAACAACATATTTTAATTATTTATGTCCTCAAACAATTTTATTATATTGATGGTAAATTTGTTTTGTTCCGTGTCAAAAGGTCTTCAAAATGCCATGTTGTAATAATATTATGCCGAGTTGCTGCGTCAGCAACCGAATTTGGTACAATTTCTTGGTTCTTCAATTGAGATCGGAAAGACTATACCACTAATGGGCTTATTTTTTTATCCTCAGCCATATCTAGACTGTTAGATTTTGAAATGGGTACATAAATATAAAATTTTAAATCTTTATAACAAATTGTTTTGCATTACAAATTATGAAATTCGGGGTACACAGGTTCTAAGTGATGTCAGACTTTTTACAAAAAAAATCATAGTAAACCATGGTTTATCAGCTGGGTCATCACAGTTCAGCAAGTACAGATATACTTGCTAAAGAAAGAAAGAAAGAAACCTACTTATTTTATACGAGTTGTGATCAAAAAGTAACGGGAATTGTTAATTTTCTCGCAACTTGAAAATTCCCGTTACTTTTTGATTAAACCTTATATCATAAAAAAAAATCATTCGTCGTGGGCCTTAAAAAAATTTTAGAGGGTTCTGGTACATAAGCTACACTGTACATCAGATAACAAATTTAGATTTATTTTTTTAATATTGTAACAAACTAGCATCACAAAAGCGTGACAGTTGTAGACTTTCTTTTCCATCTGCTAGGAAACGTGAAATTACATAAATTTATTACACTGTATTTTGTAAAACTCCTATCGAACAGTTATTCTTATCAAAATTCTCTGTAAATTAGTGTAATATGAAACTACCTGGAAATATGAACGTATCTACACAAGTATGTATTTTCAGCATCACAATTTCTATTAATTTAATGTGCTTTTAAAAGGTATCGAACCAATCAAATCAATTGATGTGATAACATTGAACTCGTGCAATGAATATATATTTTTTTTTAATCAAGGGTCATCTCGTAGTATAAAACTAAAGCAGTATTGGATCGAATATACTTACATAGTGCAATTGACTAGCTACTAAAATGACTGTTATACATCTAATTGATTTACGTATATTGTATAAAATATACATGGTGTCTCAAGATTACTAACCCAAACAGAAAATGTGAAGTCGGGCGGTCAAAATAAGAAAAGTCCGGAAAGAATCTCTGATAAATTTTCATTTTCAAAATACAGTGTTGCAATTTGAAACAAAAATAACGATTTTTAAAATATCTCATTCTAGACGTTTAAAAATATCTCTGAAATGTGAGCTCATGATTTATCTGATTAACTCCAAGTGGTGTTTCTAAGAAATAAAGAAATGAATTCAAGACAGAGGAACGGATAATTTTTGAATTATTATTTTTTGTCTTATATTATCATTGCTGCATATTTCAATAAAATTAAAATAACTAACATTACTGGTTTCGAAAAAATTATAGCGTTTTAGAAATACAATTTAAGTAGAATGTTAAAAAATATATATATTTGCACAGATTTTGTTGCAAAATTTCTATACAAAATATATTTTTGTAATTTTAATGATTACATAGTACTTAAAATTGTATTTCTGTCCTACAAACTTTTTTATGAAACAAGTGGTTCGAAAGTTATTTTAAGTTTATTGAAACATTTGGGAAAGCTAAACTGGAAAAATTTTCAATTTTTTTTTTTATAAAATGGAAGATTTCTTTTTTCATAGAACACCAAAAGCACTGACTGATATATTTAAAACCAAAATCAGCAAACTTCGACTTTGAAATATATAAATCAATAGCCAAAGTTTATCAAACAACAATCATCGTCAGAAATATTTTAGAAAATGTCAATTTAATTTCAAATTTTAATGTCCTGTGCACACATTTTCCTCATAGAGCTTCTTTTTATCTTGGTCACCCGCATTTAAATTTGGCAAATCAGAACTGAAACACCCTGTATATATATGTCGAAATTTTGCTAGAAAATCTGTTCGGAAATAACTATTACCAAATGAATATTTTATTAACTAGACTGAATTAATTGACCAAAAAAGAAATGGTGGATATAAAGAACACGCCAGTTTTGTCTTTGGCTCCCTCTGTATGTCTTCACCTGAACTTGCTTGGATGATACAATTGGGCCGCTAATTCTATAACAGTTTATCGTTAAAGCATGTATGTGATAATTGAATAATATTAAGTAATTTTGAATGTGTGATAAAAACGCAATTTTAATAGATTGTATAAGTATTTAATATAAAATTCGACTAGATGGTATTGTGTAAATTATATTGTTAAATTGTTATATTTTATTATAACTGTAATTATGTAAATTATAAATAAAAATTGTTAACAAGTTAAGATGATTTATCATTTATTTTCCGTTTTTTTCTTTGCCAATTTATAGTTGGTTCAAAAATGCTTATACGTACAAGCTGTTCCCAATATAAAGTTCCTGTATTTTTTTAAAAACTTGGCATTAACAAAATTATACAGGGTGCCTCTAAAGAATCTCTACAACGCTCCACATGTACAGTCCAAAATAAGTCGATTTAACTAAACTTACCTTAATCCAAAAATTGAAAACGGAGCTACTGGATGTCAAAATTGAAAAAATAAATAACATTTTCGTTAATATCTTAATTTTGTAAAGAAAAAATCAAAAAGGTCAATTCAAAAATGATTTAAAAATATACTTCTGCACGGCGCACAGTGGGAAATATTGGAAAAAATTCTCGCCACTCGCCAATTTTCATCGTCTCGTGATTTTTTTTTAATAATCTCGTAGTAATCTGAATTTTCATATTCCGGTGAGGTTTTTTCGGAAAATCCTTTTTTTTATTTTTTAATGCTTAGGGAGCGTGCCAGCCTCAATGTCGAAGAAAAAATTTTTAAATACTCGATGTTCAGTTGTAGAAAAAAAATGTTTAAAAGATATACGCTATTAATAAAAATTGATTATTATGACCCTTGATGATATATTTGGAGTTAGGTTTTTGCAGAAAAAACATCAGATATATCATCAAGGGTCATAATAAGGGGCGCTCCCTAAGCATTAAAAAAAAGGGTTTTTCAAAAAAACCTCACCGGAATAGGAGAAAATTCAGATTACGAGATTATTAAAAAAAATATCACGAGACGATGAAAATTGGCGAGTGGCGAGAATTTTTTCCAATATTTCCCACTGTGCGGCGCTGGAAACGTCCACTGTAAAACTTGATCTCGCACAATGCGACTGGCATGGCGGCATAGTGTGATAAAAACGGACAAAAACTTGAGAGAATTCTGCAGGAAATAAATAGAATTTATTTTATATCAGCAAATTCAACTGCTTTTGCCACTATTATTATTAATAAAATTAATTTGTGTTTTTAAATAATAAAATAATTTGACATACCTGATGTTACAACTGTTCAAAATTTTGTCCACTAACGTGTAAACACATTTGGGTCCGTCTTATTCAGATTCTACGAACTAACACAAATGTTTGTCTTGCTTCATCATAAATTAAAATAATATTCATCAACTCCAAGTTCCTACACACGTAAGCCATTTTTTACACTAACCACTAAAAACTATTGTAAACACTATCGCAACAACGATTGTAAAATCGGAGTTCAGTATTCGGAGTCGCTGAGACCACTTGGCTTTCCAAGCGTATTGCGAATGATGCTAGAGACTACAGTTGTCTAGCTATGTAATGGTTAAAAGTACTACAACTTCATTAATTTTATTCTCAGAAATTATAAGGATTTTACAAAAATTTTTTTTACGATATTGACCACTTCTCATGCCGCATCTATTTTCAAATTTTTTTTGGGATACCTTGTATAACCTCAGTTATTTTAATTAATGCTTTGCCAGAATTTTATTTCACTTAATTTATTTTCAAATTTGGTTTACTGATTGGTAATGAATGAATGAAAAATATAAAAATTCTAATGTTCTATCAGGTGCAAAAACTACCCATTTTTCACGATTTTTTGCTGCAAAAAATTAAATAGTCCTTTCTCGGAAATCAACGATTTAATATTTAGTTTCAGGGTTTATTCTGAGAGCAATGTTGCAAAACATCAAGTCCGACAACTTGGTGACCAGCCTGGATATTATTCAGCCATTCCATTTAATTTATTCTCAATGAACTTGAAGCAATTGCTGTCGAATTTTCTGCAATAAATGTATTTTTTGGCGGTGTGGCCTTCACGCTTATCTTGAACACCATTATTTTAAAGATAACGTTTCAAATTTATCCTAAAAGTAATATCTATCTGATAGCAAAATGCAACTAGCGTGCGTTTTGTGATTTATATTTCTTTGCTAGCCAGACACTAAAATATCTCCACGAGTGCAATCAACGAATTGACCACCCCTGTTATCATGCACGCTTCAAAATAATTTAATTTTTTTAGCGATACCTAAAAAACCCGTCACATAAATGGTAACTTCTTACGCTTTTGCATATTTTTAAAATTATCATTTTTTTATTTGAAAAATGACATACAAGGGTCATCTTTTATACTTCGGGAAAAGAAAACTAAAAAGAAAAAAGTTATCATCGTATATGGCTTTGTTTTTCAAAATATTCTCCAATACACTTTTGCATACACTTGAACCAATTTTCGAAGTACTTTTTCCATTACCAATGAGGTATTTCCAAAACGTGTATTTTGAATGCATCTTCAGGTGTTGAAAAACGACCTTGTAATTTATTTTTGATGTGCAGGAACAAAAAAAAAGTAATTGGGTGCCAAATCAGGACTGTACGGCGGATGATTCACCGATTCGACTTTTTTTAGTTCTGAAAGCCTCTTGTTTGAGCCAATGTGTGAGAGCTTGCATTGTCCTGGTGGAGAATGATGGATCTTCGGCAGTTATTTTTCTCCGAAGACTTTTAACAAACAAATGGTTATGTACCATTCTAGTCCAACCAAATTACACTTGGAGCAAAAATTGTTATTTGGAGTTTTATAAGTGGAAATGGTAAAAGGGCTTATAATAAATCTAAAAAATATATACGTGAACAGAGGTGGCGGAGGGTTGATTTGAGTTGTGAAAAAGTGGGATTTCTGGCGAAAGTTGAGATCAAACAAAAAATATCCAATACAAAAGTTGTAGATTGTGTCAAGAAGTTTCCGAGATATTAATTTTTTCCGGTCTGAAACACTTTTTTCAAAGAAAAGTTCTATTTAGAAAAATCATACTGAAGAGTTCTGCTGGTGATAATTTTTTCATTTTGACATACTTTTTGGTGAAATAAAAAAATCTGTAATCAGTTCAAAAACATGCTCAAAAATGTAAAAAAAATTAAAAATGACTTGCAACAATGAATTTTTCAGTAATTGTGGATAATTTATTTAAATTAAAAAAAAAATTCAAAAACTGATTACACCATTCAATTCTACAGAAAAGTCTACTGTTGACGTGAAACCCAAAATTTTTTCTTCCGGCTTTATTTGAAATGGCGTCAACATTTTTGCAATTCGACGTTTCGTCTTCGAGGGGCCATCATCAGGTTAATTTTTTTAAATACGTCGGTGTTATTTTTATGACAAAATCCAGCCATTTTTAATTCTGAATTAGATAATTTTACTATTGTAATCGTTTAAAAAGAATTTTCGTTTATTATAAGCCCCTTTTGGTAAAGGGGCTTATAATATGAAAATGGTTTTCCACTTTTAAGTCCAGGTAACAATTTTCAATTTTTTCCTCTCTGAACGAGTTATTCCGATTAGTCTATTCAGAATTGACCGAGTTTTAGAAATACTTCGTGTGCAAACAACTTTTGTTGGACTTGGCTCATCTCGAGAGACCCATACAGCTCGTCACCCGTTACAATGTCATAGACATGTTTTGAAGTACCATAATTGTATTTCTTGAGCATTTTTTTCGACCAATCGACACGAGCCTCTTTTATTGAGCGTTTAGCAAATTATACGGGAACCAAGTCGACCAAATTTTTTTGGCGGCCAAATGTTCATGCAATATTGATTGTACATGCTGGTTCCACTGGTTAATCTCACGATAAGTCACATGACGATCTTACAATATCAGTTCACGCACAGCATCTGTTTTCTGGAACAACCGATTTTGGACGACCTTCACGAAAATCGTCTGAGCCAAGCACGGCCACAATTGAATTCCGTATACCACCGACATACTGATTTTTGATGGTGCTTCATCGCCAAAAGTTGAATTTAGTTCCATCAGACAATTCTTGTCGAAAGTTGTAAAAAAAATCGCACGGAAATGTTCTCGACTTAACCCCATTTTTTGGACGAGACAAATTTTTCAAGTCATTGTATACTGATAAAGTCGAATTTTACGATAGGAACATCGGTTGTTATATGTCACTACCAAGACCGTCCATTCTCGAAATATAAAAGACAATCCTCGTATTACCTTTGACCTAAGAAAAAAAATATAGGAATTGTCTACTATAGATGGTTTTAATAGAATTTAAATATTCGAAGGACATTTTCGAATATGTTCAACCCCAACACCCTTATCTCGGAAACAAAATGTTTCGGCAAACATTTATTTGAACTACCCCCGTAATTTTTAAGTTTTTATCATAGAATCTATTGGAGACGTCTGGACGACTAGTACCTGACCGCTCTGTAGAAGTTTGCAAAATTAAAAACACAGATTATTTAAAATTTCTTTGTATATTAAAAAAATTGACAATAATCATATATAACATTGAGTTATGACTTTTATTTATTGGCGACGCTTCACATGAATATCATTTTTTCCGATGCACTAATACTTTAATGAATTAATTTAAAATAAGTCAATATTACATAGCCCCGGTCAACTATTGCCTGCCACACACCAACATAGTAAGGCACCAGAAATGTTTATACATATTATAATAATTTAATTACATTGGAAAAAATGTTATTGTTGTTGTTAAAAAATGATAGGTGGCACTGATATTTTTTCTTCGAGGATCCAACTCACCTAGAACAAAACAAACGAATCAAACGAGTTCCCGCAGCGTGATCGCTAAGCGGCAGTGATAACTTCTGCTGTAATTTTATCGCTAACGAATTCGCTACATATTTATCGCTACAAAAATCGCGTAAATTGTTAAAAACCTAGCCTAGATCCGTGAATAGTACACCGTTTACACTTACCTAATCACTTTCACCATCAGAATCACTTTCTTCCTCGGCATTTTGCAGCCAATCAATAAACTCTCTCATCTGTTCGACGAACATCATTTTACCCTTAACGTTGTAATCCTGTTTGTACCATTTCAAAATGGATTGTTCTGAGATAACATCCGTCTTGTAAAACAACATTATTATCTTTTGGAACGCCTTCATGAATGTCATGTTGGAATAACAGTAGTCTTGTACTTTCAGCAGAAGGTTCAGTTCCGCGCGGGCTGATTGGCTGAAGGCGGAGAACAGGTTCGTGTAGTACTTCAGGTGGCGTACCGCTTGTTCGGTTACAAGCTCCTGAAATTAGATTAAGAAAATAATTATGAGTTAAAGTATCGCAAGAGACGACGTTCAATGTTTACCTACAGTACAAAAAATTTCAGTTAAAAGGCAGGTTTTATAATTTATATTCTTATTTTTAATTATCCACTGTTTGAAAGTTACAGGAGTAAGTATTGTAACTAAGAGATATTCACGTGTATTTTATAAAAAGGGACACCCGGTATAATGGATTTAGTTTGAAATTCAAATTACTTTTTGGTGTAAAAAAAATTTGTAGTTTACGATGCCCGATATCCAAAAGTGACAAATTACAAATTTCTTTACAACAAAATATAATTTGAGTTTCAAACTAACTCCATTTTATAGAAAATCTGCGTTAGAATGGAGGAAAGTCTGTTATTTGTGCATTAATTGATATTTAGGCAAACTGTGTAATAAAATCTATAAAAATGTATTACTGGTTACCTATTTGCTATAGAGCCCTCTTAACAGACATACTGTATGATAAAAAAATTTCAAGTAAATTGTAACAACTCACGATAACATTCAGCCAATTAAGGTAGCAGAATGCCAGTACTGGCGTTTTTAATATATTCCAGATTTTGCATGTGCTAAATATTTTAAATTTAACACGATAACTGCAATATCGCTGGAAATATTTAACGAAACAATACAATTTTTAAAGATTTAGATAACATAAGATATATAATCCCTTTATATTGTGTAAGAAAAATAGATTTCAAATCAGGAAAAAAACGTCACTTAAGTGCAAAATGCAAAATCGTCGACTTTAGTTTTGAGTAATTCTTATTTTTTAATATAAAATAAATTTACTGCGCAGTTAATATATCAAAAATAACTTTAAAACTTTGTCCCACAAAAAAAAGTAATCATGAATTTAATTTTCCGTGACATGACACCCAGCGCCAGTAACTTGTACATAAATACTGCCTACAAATCGCATTCGAAGAAGTTCTATGAAATTTTGAGAAATTCCCTAATATTTCTCTGATCTATGAAATTCCCCGATAATTGCATATTTTCCAGATTGGTATATACTAGACTGGACCAAAAATATCGACAATTTTTTTTTTTGAAAGATATATCAAGAATATCATTCAGAATGACGAAAAAAAAATATCGTGAGAGTTTGAACCCTTAATATTAGTTTTAAGAGGTCTATCATCGCTAGTTTCGGTTTTTTATTCCTGACCCCATTTTTGCGTCAAAATGCCAAACCGTCAATATGTTTTTTCAATTTGACTTTTTAACTTTAGAATTTCGTAAATAACGAACAAATTAATTGAAAAAGAACAATACAGATTTTCAAAGGAAATTTAATGCTCTACAAAAAAGGTCTCTTAACATTTTTGCATAAATTTACTCTTTCAAAAGTTATTCACGATTGAAGTTGATGTAAAAATGAAATTTTTGTTTTTTTTTCGGTTTGGACCCAATTTTTTTCACTCAATGGAACAAATTGACATTATACATCATCGATAATTATTATTCTATCAATATAATCACCAAAAATATCCAAAATTCATAATATATTCAAATTTATTCTCGCTCTATAGCTTTTTTCTACAAGACCGTAGTTTTACTGTCTCAAAATAATTTTAAAAATAACAATTATGTAGTTTTACTATTGAAAATTATTTATTTACAATATTGTATACATTTATATGAAAGAAAAATCAGATTATGGCTCATAAAAAGATTCAAGGCCATTTTCACTCACCCCCCCTTTGGATTATCGATTGTAATATCGATTATCGGTTGTAATATCGATATCGTAATATCAATCGATATTCGTAATGCAAAGAATATATACACATTTAAAAAAAAGTTAGAGAATATCTAGTTGCTATCTGCCTCTACAATTTAGACACACCTGTTTTGTAGGGCATTCAATCCTTCAAAAATATATGTAAATATTTTAATCGCCAGTATTGCGAGAAACAACTACTCCGAGTGCTATATATGCCCCTACTGGCATTGAATTATACTCGCAACACCTAGTGCAACAGCTAGGATCGTTCGCCAGTTTAACCCACCAGGCACAGACCGGTTTCGGACTTATTAGTCCTCATCAGTGCGTCATAGGTGAGACAACACTAGGTGTTGCGAGTATAATTTAATACCGGTAGGGGCATATAGCCCTCAGAGTAGTTGTTTCTCGCAACACTGGCAATTAAAACATTATCTTCGCCCTCTGTGGGTGGCAGTCGTGCAACAAGTACCTTCAATATAGCAGGTCGCTTCCTACTGTGGCCATTTGAATGGCACAGTTGTGAGTCAGCACGACAGATGGAGCCATTTGCGCTCCCGCGTACGTCTATGTAGATAATTTTTTTTACCGCGATGATTTGGCAGTTTTGACGCAAAAATGGGATCAGGAATAAAAAATCGAAACTAGCGATGATAGACCTCTTAATACTAATATTAAGGGCTCAAACTCTCACGATATTTTTTTTCGTCATTCTGAATATTTTCGATACTTATATCTTTAAAAAAAAAATAGTCGATTTTTGTGGCCGTCTAGTATATACCCTGTTAAGAGCATTAGATGCAAAATGGGCATTAGTTTATAAAATAAACAATTTTAAAATTATTTTTGATTTAAACAAATGTAAAAATTTTTCCGAATTTGAAAATGTCTACAAATAAATGAATTTTTTTTTAAATACAATTAGGAATCAAACGCCCCTACCCATTTTTTTTTAATTGGCATCGAAATTCTGGGGTTTCTAGCGACAGTGCCTTTACCTATGTCCCTGTTAATAAAATTGTTCAACAATTAAATCTCAGACTGTTGAGGGGACCATCATATGTTCATTTTACTAACCTCTTTTTTGGACCATTCCGGGATGTCCATAACAGTTGTCCAAATGATGCAGACCGTCTCGTGTTCCTGGATATTCTCCTTGGAGGCTATTTCCTTTATCTCGTTTATTATCTCGCGCTGTGGTTTATTCTCGCCCAGGCTGTCAGCCAACAGCACTTGCAGCTCCTTCTTGGCCTGCTGTTGGTGCTGATCGTTGTATAGTTTGAGTATTTCCTCTAGACCGTTGTCCTAGAAAAAGAAAGCGTCCCCGTCAGCACGTTACTTTCCGTTACGTTAACACGAGATCTCTGTCGTTACCTGAAAAGCATTTCGGAAGTACTGCTGTGACTGTTTCGTGTCTGGTATAAAACTCGTGAGATGGGATTCAATGTTGGACTTCTTGATGGCCGAATGCAGGGAGTTCACTCCCTTCTCCTGGCGCCAAGCTTTGAACATGTCAATGAGGAAGTCCAATGCGAGATTATCTTTGACCAAGTGAGAATTATTTAGAACGAGGATGGCGTTGAACGGCACGCTGCCGTTCGCTATCCAGATGTACAACATCACAGACAATTTTTTCCTATCAGACGGTTGGAAATACTTAACAAACATTAATATCTTCTTTATTTCATCCTGAAATGGAAGTTTCTTTTTTACTAGATGGACATTATACAGTCAAATAAATTGATACATTTTTTAACCTTGAATTAGTTGTGTAATAAATACCAAAATTGATATCAATTTATTGACGACAATAAATTCCTGAAGAAATTGCAAAAATAGCAATGGCATTAATTTTTCAACTTTTTAGTGAATTTTGATTTAGATATAATGCCAATCGTGTTTATAATAAAAATCATTAAACATGATTTAAGTTGCTCTTGATTTTCTTTATTATTTATTATTATCATTAAATTATTTATTAACTAAAACTATTGTGTAATTACAATAATAAATTGGATTGTGTAATATACTTGTTCATATTTTTAATAAATAGGAATAATAGGGAAAATACTCTCACCTCTATTATGTTATATTAGGAAGATAAAGTTTTTTTTTTATTTTTTTTTCTCTCCTGTATGAAAATTACATAAAGCTAAAAAAAAATATGTATTCACGGCAAAATTTTAGAAAAAATACAAGACAAATACTAAAAAATATTTTTCTGTAGTTGTTTATTGATACAAAACACCATCCATTTTTTTTTTCATTGATACAACATAAGTTGAATAATAAAAAAAATTATTATTTGTGTTTGTTTCTTTAAAGACAATTTTGTGTAAATACAGTGCTATTTTTTTAAAACCTGCGTAGGTCAACTCTTTTATTTGAAGTGATAGACTATTACTTCCAAATGCAAAGTTGTAGAAAATAACTTGGATTAAAAAAAAAATACAAATAATTCTTTCCGGTGTTGCCAGATTTCTGCAGTAGCTACTAAAACGATATTTTTTTAAATGGCAACAACGTATTATTTTTACATAATTTGACAAACCTTCAAATTTTAAATTGGAAATGTTATATCACATTTCTTTATTAGAGTAGTCGTTTTAAAACAATCAGCAAAAACAACGAGAATAAACTGTAGTTGGCTGGAACTAAAAGAAGCTAACACAGCAATAGCAGGTCTTGGAAATTAAACAAAAATTGGGTTGTTTGAAAGGAGCCATCATTATTGTACTGTCAGTGTTATTTGACAGCTGTTGTATTTGAATGTGTATAAAAAGTGTTTTAATTCAGTTGCTAAGATGAATCAGTTATTTACTCCACAAGAGAAAGTTGAATTAATTTTTCTTCATATTGGCAGCTTAGGTTTACACAATGCGAGAGTTGAATTCCACGCAAGACGTCCCGAAAAGTCTCTTCAAAATCTGGTGTTTTTAAGATATAACTTAATAAAACTAAAAACAACTTGTGTCCAAGGATCCGCAAAATGCTCAAAATCATCTTAGCAATTGAATTAAAACGTTATTTTTATACACATTCAAATAAACCACTACCAAACAATACAATGGGAGCACAATAATGATGGCTCTTTTCAAACAACACAATTTTTGTTTAATTTCCAAGACCTACTATTGATATGTTAGCTTCTTTTAGTTCATGCCGACTACAGATTATTTTCGTTGTTTTTGCCGATTGTTCTAAAACGGCTACTCCAATAAAGAAATGTGACATAACATTTTCTATTTAAAATTTGAAGGTTTGTCAAATTATGTTAAAAAATAAGTTCTTGCCATTTAAATAAATAGGTTTTTAGTAGCTACTGCAGAAATCTGGCAACACCGGAAAGAATTATTTCCAAATTTTTCTTTTCTATTTTTTTCGGGACATAGGAGAAAACCTCCAAAAATGTCGATGGTTGGCCGTGATTGCTGGAAAACTAAAAAAACAAATAGGAAACCGTAAACGAGGATCTTTATGGCATGACGTTATTTAAATTTCACATAAAATTTCAAATTGGTAAGTTTAATACCCTAGGGACTATGATATCAAAATTATAAACAGTTTTTTACAACATACGAAAGTTCTTTTTTCTTAAAAACTTTTATAAGTTTTCTCGTTCAAAAGATATTTGGATACGTACAGAAAAACACTGGTTAGATCAGGTCTGTTACTGATTTTGTCAGTGTTGCGTTGGAAAATAAGCTTTTTCATTATGAGTATTCATTTCCTTAATGTAGTAAATTTTAGTAGCAAGTTGACAAATTACTTAAGCTATTTACGAAAAATGGAACTTGCATGTATAAGGATACATAATGACGCCATTTTGACATTTTGAGGATGGTGGACAAATGAGAATGCGGCATGATTTTTGTCTGACAAATATTTTTTTAATTGTTTTGTCACAAAACCTGAGCTTTCCGATAAAAAAGAAAATTGCATGTAACGCATTGTAGCATAGTGTCAGAACGACAACTCCCGGATTAGCTTGTTCGAAAACGCGGCCGCGCCGAAAATTTTTGAAGAAGTAAAGTTTGTTGGACTCGTTATAAAGAAGGCACTTGCAAAGTTGACACTCGCATGTACCACTAAAACGCAAGAGCGATATACTGGGGACTATTAAAAAAAAAGAGACTTTTTTGATGAGGTCACAGCTTTTAGGGAATTAAACATACCAAAACGAAATTTTAAGTTAAATACCCATGAAACTATGCCATACAGAACCACACTTATAAATGTATGCTTACATTTGACTGGCTTAGTATATAGATGTGGCAACACCGCCTATAGCAAACAGATTCACGCCGCTGTGAAACTGACTCCCTGTGCGTTTTTATAATAAGTTGTTGAATGAACAAAGTATTATTCCACTAAATATTCCTGAACTCAGTTGGCATACTATCAAACACATGAAAAGGAAGTTGAAAAAAAAAAGGAATATAATGCACATGAAAGCTATCGAAATGCTGCTATGGGAGAATAAGAAAAAAAAATTTAAAAAGTACCGTTATTATTTCTTTGTAAAATATGTACATCAATAAATCTCATGAAGATCATATGTTTATTTCTGCACTGCATACATAAATAAATCATGCTACATCCTTCCAATTCCTATTAATGCCTGCCTGACTATTCAAATAGTTTCAATCTGTTTTGCAGTGTTGCCAGATCGGAAGGCGAGGCGTGAAAATCAACAATTTTTTAGTTTATTCGGCGATTTCTATGGTTATAAGAACTGAATTGATAAATACAAACAATCAACATGTTTTTTGAGATAACTAATACCTTCTAAAGTTTTAATTAATTCTGAACGGTAGTTTTTGAGAATTCCTATCTGAAATAACCAACCCTGTATAAAAAGTGAATTACCGAGTTTTTAAAGCTGTAAAATGAAAACATTCGTTTAATTTTTTTAATAACAATCATGAAATATATGTCAAGGGCAACAAGTCTGAATAATTGATCTACCAGTTTTATGTTTGCTTTTCAAATAATTTTCCTTACAGTATCTATTCCACGATATTAGCATAATCACCCAAGAAATCAATATTATTTATTAATAGGTGGTTTGAATTTGTTGTGCTTTTCAAGGTACAAAAGCTGATAACTCGCTATATAGTGACTCATGGGTCTGTCATTCTCATAACGAATTGAGGTTTCATGAGTCACACAAAGGATAAATAAAATTCAAGTTAATCATTGTTTAGATAATTCCACAACATATTTGCTTTGAATTTAAACCGAATTAAAATGTATTATTAAAAACATTTCATGATGTGACTGGATTCTTTCTAGAAAGCATTTTAATTGTAAATATTCTGTGACCGCTGTTGTTACTTAGAGATAAATCGCAATATTTAAAAATACAGACAGGCGAGGTAATGTTTACAACTTATTTATTTATGATTTAACTGATACGCAAATTTATTAGCTTTACCTTTGTTTCTGCGTAGATTAAATAGATTATAAGATTGCACATATAAAAATTGATTGAAAATTTTTATATACTTCTGATAGTGACGCTCTAGAGATCGTAATATAAATGTTTCTAACGGGATTTCCTAAAGTGTGATTCCCTGTTAAAAAAAATTATAATACACAACCAATAAGAAATGTTTACAGGATTTTGCGACATTTTCTTTCACTAAGATACTTTGCATATAAAACATGAAAAATGAAAAAGTATAACAAAAAGATTTAAAATTTTAGAAAAGAATTTCCTTACCTGGAATATTTTTTCCAGATATTTGTATCGGCGCATAAGTTTTATAAACACTTGCTCCCAGCTCTTCATTATTTCCATATTGATTTCGTCCGGGGTGTTAAAAATACAGGCGTCTGTCTTGTGTGGGCCATCGCCTTCTTGTGATAGTGTACCTCCTGGAACTGTAATTCAAAACGTTAAAGGATTAATAAGTGTAAAAAATGCTTATCCTTACCCAGGATGCCACCAGCGATAAGTATGTCAAAGAGGCACTCGCCATATCGACGATAATCTAGTTTGTTTCCTGCGTTGTCCAAATATCGAGAAATTGCTTCAAAATCGTTAGAACATTTATCGAGCCCAGAGATTATCGCATCCCTAAACCCTATTGGATCATATCTCTCCTTTTCATCTACCAAAAGAATGTGTTATCAGTAAAATTATGTTTAGTATACTAATTAAACTAGCAGTAAAACATTACATATCTATATACAAACATTAATCGTCATAATATCCTTGAAATGAATGACAATATGTTCTCTTTGTGCTACCTAAGTACAATTGAATTTTAAACATGTTTATTTGTAAAATTGTGTAAACAAATAAACTTTATATAAAAATGAAAATTATTTGTAAATATTGACATATTGCAATAAATTTCACAATTTTTAGCAAATAAATATATTTAGACAATTAACTGGATATTAGATCATACATATCATAGAAAAGATTTACAAAAAAAAAAATATTTATTATAAAACAAAACAAGACTACATAAATATAAACAGTGATGATATGGAATAAGCGGACCTATTTTTATTTTTCAAACTAAAAATACACACAAATACTTGCCTCTTTTTCTGGTCTTGATGCGTTGACCGGATAGGACTGGTTTTTCTACCTTTTGACTCATACAAAAATTTCTGAAAAGTTAATTAAAGAAAAAATTAAGTTTCACTTTCACCAACACCACGGCTATTGAAAATCAAGTCACTTATATGTTAATTTCGCAACGAGAAAATTTTTTTTAGTATCACAAGGTCAAAATTCACAAAGACAATACGAGATGTTTCATTAAGGTTTTCTTTATCCTGTATATAAACAATTTTAGTGAACATATTTGTAGCAATGAAAAATTCTTTAATCAACAGAGCATTAAAAATGCAGGAAAAAAGACGTTTTACTTAAAAAAAAATAACGGCATTTGAAAGCAGGTCAACGACATACCTAAACTTTCTCCTACGATCAACAGACAATATTAATCTACATCAAAGTACAATGAATATTTCAAAATACAGCATAAAAATCAATTATTATCGAAAATCGAATGAAAAGTTACACAAGTTGCAACAAATTTTCGAATAGCATGAGCCACCATTAAGCATATCATATTTCTTGAAAATAAAGAAACATGCTAAGAAAAGCTGTAAAAACACCTACTGAGAAATTATAACATAATATATACAATTAGTATTATTTATTAAACGATTTTAAATTCAATAATAAAATTTACTTACGTGTATACGGTTTAAAAAAAGCAGCTCACACGCAGAACAACTTTCTCAAAAGAAACTGCTGCACTCGCTGAAAGAACAATGTAATGGCAGTAGAGAACCGGAATCAATATATACACTATGCGCGGGAAATTTGAAAGTTTGAAAGAAGAAATTAACTTGTATTGAAAATAACCACTACAAAGATTTTACTAGATAAGAAAAATAAACAGATTTTAGTTATACGAAATTAATATGTCAGTTACTGAAAACAAAACAAAAATGTCAATTGATATTGACGGAAGTACACTTGACTAGCGTGGATTGTAGGTGCGTTCTTTCATACTGATCGCGTGCTTCATTCAAATACTAATAATTCAAAGCAAAAAGATTTATTCATTCCGTGACATCTTATGCATGGTATTTTGAAGTTGAAGATTGCTATTGATGAAACAGTAGTTTTATTTTATGAAAAATTAAGGAAGTCAATTTGTTCTGGCTTTCTTGACAAAATAAGCCATATTATCAAAATTAATCCAATTTGAAAATGGATGCTATGTATCATCAGAAATCATTACGATATTGGAAATTCAAATTTGGAATGACCTTCCGGCGCTAGCCTAAGGGCCACCTTAGCAAAGCGCATCCCAGGCTGCATAGCCGCACTACCCTACCCAACCATACCACACATAAACATGACACCACCCCCGGGGTTTACACAGACGAGCCGGCGAAGCAAGAAGAGCGCCAGAAGAAAGGGCCCTAGCCGGCGGGGCCCAGCCAGGACAAAAGGAGGTCCCACAAAGCGCCTATACCGGCCGCATTTGCGGTCGGATGGGGCCCACCTACGAAGGCTGTCCAGGCCTACACGAGATGAGGCAGGATAATCCCCCTCGATCCCAAATCATTGAGGCCAATTTCTAGCAATGGAATAATGGCGTGGCGGAATGACCTTGAACACGTGAACTATATCGTAAAGAAGTAGATCTTTCTCTCTTGTGTGCGTCTATGAGTGAGGCGGATTTTTTTAATTTCTAAAGATATTGTTTCTTTGCATTTTTACATGCCAAATAGGTATCATTACTACTAAATTTCAGATAAAATTGAAAATTGCTTTACTAATAATTATAATGCAGTAATAATTAAATATATTCCTTTTATGAAGTTTTTGTACGTCACAAATTCATCGTCTTTTAACATTTTTAACCTAATATTTTCGCAAAAGGTAGTACAGCGCCACGGTCTGTAAAGACGGACCGTGGTACGGCGCGACAGAAAACTGGAGTAAAGAACCAAGAGAAATACAACTCGATTGGTTGAATTAAATGTAGTGCATCAGTCCGTTTTGTGAACGCCGCATAAATTTGTAATTAATTTATAATTAAATGCGCAGAATCAAATGCTGCCTGCACATGATCAATTTGGCCGGGCTGAACTTTTCAAAGCAGTAAATATCAGTGTATCTATATTTTAACAAAGTTTAGTGTCCAGTAGTTCACGCAGTATTAAAAACATAAAGGATGACATTTTTATCATCAACATTTTAACATTTTATTGCAATGACAAAGTTGCATGGTCAAGTTTTTTACGTTTTGGTAAATAAATTTAGTAAAAATAGTATTATATATTTTTATTTTATTAAATACTAATTACAATTTTTTGGAGACAATGTATCTAATTTTAATTTATCTCTTTGTTTTTTCTGTTCCTCTTCATCACTGAAAAGTTCTGCTAGATCATCTTTAGGTTTTGGGGGTAAAATTTTTCTGACAATGGTAGGTTTCCTTTGTGCATCTTGATTTTTTGAAATGGTTGAATACACGGACATTGCCTAAAAAGTAAAGTATTTCGAATAGTATACTTAGTGACACTATTTCTACTCGATATTTCAAACGTCACTTACCTGAGTAACTAAATTAGAAATGTCACCAACATTTGCAGGAAGAATCAGAGTATTATTGGTTTTCGCTAATTTATGAAATGCATGAACATATTGCTCTGCAATACTAAGGGATGCAGCATTGGGACCCAAGTCTTTTTTTAAAGCTTCTGCTACTAATTTCAGTCCGCCCGATCTAGCTTCAGCAACAGCTAATATTGCCGCTGCTTCACCAGCTGCTTTATTAATTTGTTCTTGTCTTTCTGCTTCAGAAGCTAGTATTCTTGCTTTCCTTTTTCCCTCAGCTACATTGATATCGGCTTCTCGTACACCCTCAGATTCTAAAATAGCAGCTCTTTTTTTTCTTTCTGCTTCTACCTGCATTTGCATTGCTTCTTGAACCCGAGGAGGTAATTTTATATCTCTAATTTCATAACGCAAACAAGTCATTCCCCATGCTTCACTTGCTTTGTTTATGGAGTCAACAATAGATACATTTAAATTTTCTCGTTCCCTGAAAACTTTGTCTAAGGATATTTTTCCTAATTCTGATCTCATAGTGGTTTGTGCAAGTTGCGTTATTGCAAATTCAGGATCTTCTACACCATAACTTGCTAAATATGGATCAACAATTCTTAAGTACAAAACACCGTCTATATTAAGCGTGACATTATCCGAAGTAATTGCACTTTGTTTTGGTATATCAACCGCAATTTCCTTCAAACTTTGAACGTATTTTACCCTGTCGGCTATAGGAATTAATACGTTCAATCCTGGTTCCAGAATTCTATGAAATTTACCCATTCGTTCTACAATCCATGCCTAAAATGTTTTTATTGTATAGATATGTTGTCTAATGTTTAAAAAATTAATAACATACCTCTTGCTGTGGAACAAACATTATAACAGTATTCATTGGTGTGTAAGACTTGTGTCTTACAAGAACATTGCGAAATGCTTTTATAACTGTGTCTTGCTAAAATTAATTAATTAGTTGTAAAATAAAATATCAAATATATAATTATTGTACGACAAGAACTTTTAATAAATTCTTTATACTCACTTTTAATATAATATTTGTGAAGGATCTGGATAACATTTTGCTGCGGCCGTATTATTCGAAAAATAAAATAAAATAAAACTACATAACCTCTAGGAAAATGCCGGATGCCGGAATGACAGTCAAACAAATCACAAAACTTGCAACAGAGATGACACTGATGACATGAACCAACTAGTGAACTGATCTACCATAATCATCTAGCAGATAGAAGTAGCTTATAAAACCAGTGCTGCTGGACCCTAGATTCACTGCTATTTAGTAACACGAATCCAGTGCGTTGCAGCTGCTAACTGTTTTCATATATACAGGGTGTTTATTAAGTACTTGTACAAACTTTAAAGGGTGAATCTGACCAATTTTAATATAAAAAACTCATATGAACATTGGGCCGCAATGGCTCGTTCTTGAGATACAGAGCATTTAAAAAAAATGTTTTGTTTCAGCAATTATTGTAAATATTAAGAACTTATTTTTTACAATTTTTTTTGGACGCTGTGTATCTCAAGAACCAAGCCGTCGCGGGCCTATATTCATATGAATTTTTATCTTAAAATTAATCAAAGATTTACCCTTTAAAGTTCGTACAAGAACTTAATAAACACCCTGTATATAACAGGAAAGGTAGTCTTCACTGACGAGTTAAGAAAAAAAACTGCGATATTTTTGGGAATGCAGTATTGGAGTATTATCTTTCTTCCCTCGCAGGCACGTGATTGGCTAACGCAACTCCTTCCACAACGATTAGAGAGAGAGAGCGAGTACCTAAACTATCGCCTGTTTTCTCTACAGCCGTTACATTTTTTTACTCACAGTGTTTCCTCTATGTAGAATATTCTCTAAGGGTGTTACTGTCAGTGGTGACCATTGAAATGGTTTGAGGTTGGTTAAACTGAATCTGAAAAAGTGACACTACATGTTTAAATTTGAAATTCTTTCACATAGCAAGTTGCGTAGCACCAATTTTGAAGACTGAACCACAACAAACAAGCTTAGCTTGTTCAATACTGGAGCAACAGATAGTGCAGATATGAACTTATTTTCATTAAAAAGTGAAACTATTAAGTTTTACAATTTTCAAGTTAATTTAGAAAAATCCATTACACCCATTTTGGAGCGTTTAAAAAAATGTGCAGAGCTTGATTTGTACGAATTATCCAGTGATTTGAAAAAAAGAAGGTATAAAATAAAATATATTACTAACGTTATAATGACAGAGAGGTTTGAAGAATTGCCCATTTTTAGGCAAAATGAGTGGAATATACTTCAAACTAAGATTCAGGATATTTTGGAACCATTAAATTCTAAAGTAACGTTAATAAAAAATAATGAAATTGGGAGTGTCACAGGTTTGTTTCATTATGGTTGTTTTAAAATTATTTTTCAGAACTTTGTAATTATTTAGATTAGATAAAAATTAATGGAGTCAGATTACGCAGAATAGACATTTTCTGCTTAATATAGTTAATTCTCTTTCAGTTAATATTAATAAATCGAACTGTTTATATTAATCTTTAAATTTGTAAAGATATATTTTATGTATACATACTAAATTGTAGATTTCAAACAATTTAAAAAGGAGATGATTTTTATACAGGATAATATCCAAACCGTAAAATATTGCAACAAGAAGCAAATAGAACTTCTAGATAAAGAATTAAATGATCTCACAGATGACGTGAATTACTATAATGAAAAGGTTTTAGAGTGGACAGAACCTGTCCAAATAAATTTTCACCAAGTTTCAAATTTACAGAAATCGAAGAGAATTAGAAGTAGACACCAGTGTATGGTAAGGCATATGTATCATTTTAATAGATTTATAGCCTTTATGTTCTAGGAAATTAAAGAATTCATGGACTTCGTACATGCTAGTGGGGGGCATGAAAATGGATGGCGTAAAGAAGATCATCAAGTATTTATAAAGTATCGTAAAAAATATAAAAATATTGACGCAATTGCGAAATATTTACATGAAGAATTTCCAGGTAATTTAACTGTATTTTTGTATAAATGTTGCTTATATTGGTTGTTTAGATATTAGCATACAAGAAATCAAGCATCATGAGGAATGGTACCAGAAATATATTGCATTAGAATTAAAAAAACGAACTGCTTTAAAAAATTGGCAGAAAGAAAAAGCCAATAAAAGTGCTAGTAGAAAATATTCAAATATTCCTTCAAAAATATCAACAACCGTGCAACCTTCGGTGAACGTCCAAGAGAAACTGATAAAATGGAAGGCAAGTTTTTAATTAATTTTAATTTTATACGCATTAAAATTTTAAAATATCTTAAGGCGCAAAAAGAAGAACAAACAAAACATGCAAAACAAATGGAAATGTATAAGAGGCAAAAAAGAAATGAAATTGATCAATTACAAAAGAAAAGAAACGATGAATTAAAAATGCTGGTGCAAGAATGGAAGCAAAAAAGACAAGATATGGAAGAACAGGAAATCATACACAAAAAAATTGCAGCAGAGCAAGAGAAAAAACGGAGGTATGTATACTTGGTACACTTTAATAAGAAAACAGTCAGTTTCTCTCTGTATTAATTTTAATTATACCGTATATAACTTCAAGTGGGAAGCAGTTTTTTGGGGATAAAAATTACATGCATAATTCTGAAATTATTATTTTATTTTACATCAAATAATTGAGTTATAATTACAATTCTTGTCTATGCCGGGCAGCTCCCAAAGCAGTTTTATGTTATAATAGAAACTAATAAAATACTCACCAATAGGTTGGAAATATTTTCTTTGTTATTTCAAGTTTTTAATAAAAAGTATTTGTTACTATTTTTTTAAAGCACTGTGTTCGGTTTATGAAACTAACCTGTGACATTGACCTAGTTTAGGGGAACTACATATTTCTAAAGATCAAAGTATAAATATGACTGCCATTCAAAATTACACCCCGTATATTGAGTAAATACCTTATAGGGCTTTTGAAGCAAATAGATTAATAAAACAGTTCCAAAGTCAGGATGACCTATACATTATGAGAATGAAGCAGAAAAAGAAACCAGAACCGTTTCCTATCCTAAGACGAAGTAAGTCGAGCCATTCTGCGAAAAGGGATCCCAAAAGGCTCTTAAAACCCACACAGCAGTGGATAAACAGAATACAAGACGACAATTCTGCCGACAAATTTGGTAATGTTATGCCCTTGAGGTGTTTACCGAAACTGTAAGTTGAACGTTTATTTTTTTGCGCGTAATATTTTCTTAAACTATTTTTTACAGAGCAATTCCTGAATGGAGGAGAAAATTGGAATAATTTGATGTGGTTTATAAGAAAAACTAAGTGTTTATTTAATGTTTATATTTTTACGGTTGTTCAAGTAACATTGTTCAAAATATCACATATTTTTTTAATTCCTTTGAATGTTAATATAAAATTTATTCAATATTTTTGGTTTCTTACATATGAAAATAAAATGGCAAGAAATACTACATTTAACTGCCTCTTTGCAAGACATTTTTCTTGCATAAAATATATATTACAACTTTTTTTTAGACTTTTTTACATATCGTGTTGTCTGTCCATGGGTAGAGTTCAAAAGTAGGATTTTTTATATTTTCTTTTGAAGAAGTCATACTTTAAATAAAAATCTGCTTGTATTCAAATGTAGTTTAAGATCTACCATGAAAAGTGTCTAAAGCAACACAAAGTCCAATTTCTGGTCTCATTCCCGGCAAATCAATCAAGTAATATGAATCTGCTTAAGGAGACTCTTTGGAATGGTACAATTCTGAGAAATTAAAAAATGCATCATAGTGTCATAAAGGCATATTTTGAATGTAAAATTAAGAGGGTGTAGCTGACAACGTTATGGTCTATATATTCAATGCTGAAGAGAACACACGTCAAACAAAATATAGATATAGAGAAATATTCCAAATTAGTACCGTATTTGAAAAATAAATGTGTAGCATATCGTCCAAAACAAAAACAACAGTTTTAAAAAAATACAAATATGCTACAAATTACTTTTTAATAGAGCATACAAGATCGTTTTCCAAAATGATGAAATATCCATTTAAAAAGTTTTTTTATCATTGACACCTATGGTTAAGACAAATTGGTGTCACCCTGTATATGTTGTGCCACTAAAAACATTTCAATACGTTTGAATACAGCACAATTTTTTATCACAAATTTTTATATGAATAGTACGATTTTAATAAATAGATACGATTTTGTAATAAGTGAAAATTAAGGCAGTTTCCATGGACACACTGTATAAATGGTGATATACGGGGTATCCCAAATTGCACAAGACAGACTTTAAAGGATAACAGAACTTCCCGAAATAAGAAAAAAGTTCCTATAAATTTTAGTTCAGAATTAGTTTCCAAGAAACAAGTTAAAATTCTCAAAAACCTATTTCAATGCATTCACTTTAAAATAAACAAATAAAAATTTATACTGATCCCTAAGGAAAATTCTGACCCATCTCTTTTGGTATAACACTTGTTTGTTTATTTAAGAGTAGAATTCTAGTTTAAATCTTACATAAATCTCGTTTCAAACGTTTTTTGTTTAAAATTGATAATTTTTCAGAGTAATAATTTAAATTTGGTTATTTATGCAACAATTAACAATTATGACTTATTCTGAATAAAAAATTCCAAATCTTAAAGTTCTAAAGTTAAAAAAAAAGTACCTAATCAAGTGAGAGCAAAAGAGTGACCGCAAAAATCGCCCATTTTTTCACAATTAGCAGAGAACTAAAGAAAATAGATAAAAATATAAGATGAGCATAGCTTTGTTTTTTGAAAATTTTCAAAAATCATCCCTATTTAGGGGTTGAAAAGACGCCCAAAATGAAGAATTGAATATTACCAATAAATATAAAAACTATTAGCATGTGAATTTTTCTATCAATACAAAGAAAGATTTATGACTGAAATAAGCATGTTGAATTAGAAAATCCACCCTTAAGCGCGCTCAGGGGGTGGAATCATCCCCAAAAATAGAGAATATCAGAAATAATTGTAAAAATACCAAAAAAAATATATTAAGATAATTCACAAGCTAATAGTTTTTATATCAATTGGTAATATTCAAATTCTTCATTTTTGGCATTTTGTCAATCCCTAAGTAGGGGTGATTTTTAAAATTTTCAAAATACTAAAAGCCATGCTCATTTCAATTTTTTACGACAAGTAATTTGCGACCAAAGACATGTTTTTATGTATTTTTTTAAATTCTCTGCGAATTGTAAAAAAACGTGCGAAAATCACAGGTTTTTTGCGGTCACTCTTTTACCTAGACTTGGAGGCCTAAGTAAAATAGAATAAATGCTTTGGCTTCTGCTCCTGACTGATTCCAGTATTAGTTTTGTAAGCTGCGTTCATGGAGAAAGGAAAAATAACACTTGTCATAATTGATTTAAATTAAATTTAAATCAGTGTTTGAATTTTATGTTAATGACAGTTGTCTTTATTATATTTAGTTGTATTTCTTTTGTTATATCATGATTATTTCATTATTTGAATTGTCGTGTCGTGGAAAATTGCCGGATACCTGAATGTCAAGATACACACGTTACGTACGCTAAGCTATCAATACATTTATTTCAAGGCAAACAGTTCTTCAAACAACGGTTGAATTTAACTATCTTTCTATAATGAGGTTTTCCAGGTTAATTTTTTTTTATTTACCAATTTACTGTTTTATATTGTCAAAATTTCTGTGTGGCTACATTATTAAATATGTCAAAATAATGTTCATGTTTGTCCACAAATTTTGACATTTGTCAGGATCTAAGAATTAGACGGGATATGTCTGTCTAATGATTCTAGCTGACGGTTATCATTTTGTTATATAAACGATAAATAGCGCAACACCTGTGTAATTCCCATTTTCAGGAATTACAAATTCAACACATCATATCACAAATTAAGCATCTCCTAACCCACAAGTTTATGAGAATTTTTTTCTTATTCTGTGGAGTTTTATTACCACGTAAAGTTTAGTTTATGTACAGGAACACCCTGTATATTTAAAAATAAAAATAAATGTATTGTAATACTGTTTTGCTGTATTTCTTTTTACGTTTTGTGAATTAGTGAGTATACGACAGTCAGCGGTTGACAATTTCTGCATTTTCATAGTTATATGGGGTCATTTATCATCCACTGACAAAATAGTCAGTCACTGACCGTCTGTTGTATGCGCCATCCTTATAAAAATAAAAACGAAAACATATAACGTGCAATGCAAGAAAAATACCCAACTGCAAGACATTTTTAAGAAAAAAACAAAAACATTTTGGAAATTATTTGGCAAGCTTATTGTATATAGAGCGTCAGACTTAAGCTCTAAGTTATAAAAGTGTATCGACTTATTTGTCCTATAACTGTACGAGTAATGTAATTGCATTTTTTGCAAGATTTTTTCACACAACAAAACTCAGATCTATAAAAACTCTACAAACCACACATTTTCTTCAGTTTCTATAAATATGATTATATTTTTCAAGCAATCCAATCCGATAAGGAAAAAAAAATTTACATACACGACACAACAAAGTAATCACCGCACTGAAAAGCAGAGACTTGTTAAAAAGGTGACAATAATCACTATAGACAACACAAAACGGTAATTTCATGGTAAATAAGCTTGCGAAATAGTTTTTATCAATACTTGGTTCACATTTTATTCTATAGTATTTTTTGTTTAGTTTTAATTTATATTGGCATATTCTACAATTTTCTTTTGTACCTACACTAGTCTAATGATTGGCTTTTAGCTTTTAAAATATAAAATCCACTTTCTTATATAAATATATAAAATATGTAAATAGATTCTAAAATATTTTATTTCTAAAGTAATTGGTTATCACTGCTTTAACTCCGATTTATTAAAGGACGATCTGAGGCAGAAAGGATTGTGCCGTCAAATTGTCTCAGATGTATCTGAAATAGAAAATGATACGAACTCTATAACCGTTAATTATATCTATAGAAAAATCGCTTTACCTGCAAATGAAGATTGACCTCTCCGCATCTACTTAGGTATGGGAAATTTCCTCCCGACTTAAGATGAGCTAATTTGGCACTTGGGTAACATTTGTAAAGCTCTTCGCGCACAGCAGAAGACAACGCACTTTCATCAAAAACATCTATTATGGTAATTGGAAGATTGGAAAGTTTATGAGCTTCTACGTACCCCCTAAGGCAGTTAAGTGTTAGCCTACTAGCTAACTCGGTCTGTGGGAGACTTTCCAACTGAAAAAATACAATCTTAATAATTTAAAAGTATTTAGTATCATTTTCTTACCCTTTCTACCATAAAATCAACAGCTTCGACCATTTCCGGATCAACTCTATTAGACACGAAATTTCCCATTAACATTCTTTTTAAGACTAAAGCTGGTAAAATCCAGAATATTGCAGCAGAATCATGATTGTTAAACACGGAAGTATCGGTGAAGGTATTGCACAATATTAAAGAGGCAACTCGAGGGCAATTGACTGTATATTCTGCAAATTTCTGGGCAAGATATCCACCTAGAAAACATTTACCTAAAATTATATAGATATAATCATAGAATTATTTACCTAGGGAGGATCCAAATATATGAACTCTATCTAACTCTAAATAATCAAGAAGTTTCTTGAAACCTTCGCACCACTCCCTTACATTCCAATAAACTGGTGCTTCGGCTGATATAACTCTGACCCCCTTAGCTGAAAGAGTTAGAGCTTGCTTGAAAAATATATCAGCAGTACCAGAAACAGGAGGAAGACAAATTAAAGGACATCTCACTTTTTTAGGGCCGCAGTCATATATTCGCCATCCCTAAAATCAGCTTAGCTTCAATTTCTTATATTTAAGTTCTCGTCTACATACTTTGCTGTTATCAGAATCAACTACTATTCTTCTTAGGGGGACACTACTGCGGAAACTTAAATATTCTTGGGACTGACTTAAATCACTAACATAACTCATAGTCAAAGATTCATATGATAATTTAAAATAAACTTCAAAAGGATATTGCACAAATCTGTAGTAATAATAAATGAATTAAAAATACCCAAACAAGGCAAAAAAGATAGCATTTAACATCTTTAATCTCCCATTTTTTTAACCTTTTCTTATCATGTTTGTCGCAATATCGTATTTCGTATTCGTAAACAAAGGCTGTTTTCATTAGGTTTGTTGATTTCTATTTGTGTTGCTCGTTGCTCAAATCAAAGCAGAGACAAATCAGATTCAGAGCCAAGAATTGTCAATTCTTGTATCAGAGCCACAGATCACACAAAATCAGAGCAACTGTTTAAAAAATCAGAATCATCAATCATCTGACAGTAATGACCAGGGAGACAAAAAATGAATAGAATCAGATCATCTGCTTTGTGATAAATAAACGGCATTTTTGTGCTTTTACTGGTCAGATATGCTTATAGCAACGTAAATGAACAGACAAGCAGACCTATTGAAATTGAAATACTAGTTGCTGTTTACTTTTTACAAATACGTTATAACCATAGATCTGATATAGTATACTATTAAATATATGGTTATAACATATTTAAGAACAAGGGATTAACAATCGATTATTCACTGGTTTATCAAATGTAATAATGTAATAAAACTTATAAAAACATACTTTTATTTTTAAATCTGTCTGGAAAATTATTATTAAAGTATTAATGAACAAGATGTCACTGAGTATAAAAAGCGAATTACTCAACAAAGGCAGAAAAATGATATGCCGTTCATTTGTGTCAGAGTACTCAGAGTAGATGAAGATCTGATCATTTACATTTCGCAATTTGAAATTTGAATAGATCATGAGATCACTGCTTTATTCTTCTTCTTCTGCATACTGTAGTAGATACATTCTGGACGCATCAATTTTTGTTTTGGTATTTGAGATTACCGAACACACTTCCCTGTTCTGTATTTAGCAAATGTTGACATTTAACTTAACCTTTGAAATTTGAAATGTGTATAAATTTGATAAAAACATGAAGAAATACCATCAACTGCTTCTGTTAATTGTGTCTGTAATTAGCTTATCATTATTTTTAATTTATAGACATGAATATAATCGCTTACATTATGTGTTAGAAGTTTTTAATTTTTTTGGCCAGCCATGTAATTTTTCTGATCTACAAAAAAGTGATAATATTTTGAATCAGCATGATTGGGGCCCACAACCACTTTGGCAGGAAAGTGACAATGGTTATGTTTATTCAGCATTTCTCGTTGGAAAAATTGAAGTCAAAGCTATTGCATTACAAAGTGATATAAAAAATATTCCTAGAAATTGTTACCTCTGGTTTGAAGACAAGAAGAAAGCCGTGCCAGGAAAATTTAAGTTTTCCAAGATTGGTAATGATGAAAATACAGTGCTAACTTCTTATTTTTACTTTTGTTCTTTACCGAACATTGAAAATGTGCCATTTGCAGTTTCATTCAGTTATAAGGTAAAGAGAGATAGTGATATGAAGAAAATATTATTAACCAACACCCTCGATCATAAATTAAATGTAAATGCTACAGTTTGCATATCTCCGTCTGTTTTTAGTAAAAAAAGATTCATAGAATTTTTAAGTTACCATAAACTTATCGGCATAGAATCCTTTATTTTTTATGATAAAGATATTCCTTATCGACTATCAAAATTAGTAGTAAATCTATCAAATAGGCTAGCCATTCAAGCTAGTTTCCTACCTTGGAATTATCCTAAAAGTGATAGTTCCCTGATAAGATCTATTGTTGAAAATGACTGTCTGTTAAGAACATTCGGTCAGAGCAAGTACGTTGTCACTCTAGAAATAAATGAGTATATTGTACCCACAAATTCCCTTAGTTTTGAATCATTGATTAAAGATTTTGGAGAAGATTTTCATAGGCTAAGTTTGCCAGTGCAGAAATTCTGCATAAATAATTTAAATGCCAATAAACCTATTGCTCTGCAGAATTTCGAAGTTGCTAATGATTTTAACTATAATGTGGTGCGGTACATAAGAAGAAATACACAAAGTTCTAATGTGATTTCCACAAATGCGGTAGACAAAGCACATGCTTCTATACATAAATATGTTAGATGTAATTTAGACCCGCACAAGACTACAACAGATAATAGTATGATGAAATTTTCTACAGATTTTATTAGATCAACACTAGTGCAATTGCTTTTGCATGACCAGTTGTAATTTTGCATTGTAAATTATCTATTTCCTTCCACACTGTCAAATTGAGACATCTAATAATAAAACCATCACCTGTTGGTGTTATGAAAACAGACTGCGCTTAGAAATCTCATTAGAAATTGAAAGGCATTATTAGGATGGAACAAAAATTGTTTTTATCCAAAGATATTAACTCTAGAATTATATCAGCTGTATTAGTTAAACTTGCTGTGCCTTTTTCACTTTTACAGGCAGTTTTGTACAGATATTTATCAAGAGAGCTTCACATGTAATTTTTCTCCATAAAATGGGATCAAGTAAATTGAATAAATTTAAGTATCTTTATTGAAAACAAAATAAAATACATTGTACAATATAGTGAGTGTGTTAAACTTATTTTTTACGATTGTAAATAATGTTTATGTTTTAATATTCTAATTTAACTAGTTTTATTATTTAGTTTAGGAGTGTTCATTTCCTTTTAAATATTTAATGATGTCTTTTGTATCGAGTTTAAATAACTATTAAAAATTGTCAAATTTTTTACATATATTGTAAAGACCTACCTATTTCCCTTAGCTTGGCTAGTGTGTTGCAAATTTTTACTATCTAGCCTGTAGAATTTTGCCTAGGGTTGACTAGTATGTGATTGAATGAATACAAATGTTTTAAAATGTAGTATGTTTTTTTCTATTTTGACGTCTGGCATTTTTTTATGTTAGATCTTAGTTAATACTTATCTTATGAGATATAATTTTAATACAATAATGTTTATAACTTTTTTATAAGCATTATTCAAAAGTAGATATTTAATTAAGAAAATAATTTTAATTATGATGTAGTATTTGAAGTAACATGATGTTACTGCTTTTATTCCATTTTTTTTTTAGGTTTAGTTATTTTTATAATGTAATTATGTTTTAGACATTATTGGATGTCTCACTTTTTATAAATGTTTTTCCATCTGTACGCTGTAATATTGTAAGTAGTTATTTTAGTATCTTGTAACTAGTTTATTTTTTTATGTATATTGCAAATATTTTATGATTAAGGGCATATTTATACAAATTATATATTTGCTAATAATGCTTGTTCTATAGTAGATAATAGACTGTAACTGAATATTTATTGAAATGCACAATTTTATTGTTACTTATGAGAATAAATATATACGAATGTTTTTTATTAAAGTGTTGATATTTTTTAATTCCTGACAACCTTGAGATTCTAAGTAAATTTGAATTTACAGTCCCATATGATTGCGGAATTGAAGATATTTTCGTTATATTTACCTACATTAATATCATTCCATTCAATAATAAAGACTACACACAGTGCCTCTTTTTGAGTTGCACCATGGTTATCTTAATAGATACAGGATCGATCAAATTAAAGCAAAGTTGTGGAATTTAACGATGTAAAGTTTTACAGTGTGACTAAAATTTTCAAAAGTTGAATTTTCATCAAAAAAATTTGATATTCTTTGAAACTACACAAAAATAGTAAAACAAAGTCGGCTTTTAAAAGTCGCTGCTACCTTTTCAGTTATTTTAATTTCAAATTTTATAAAAACATCTATATCTATAAATCTAGAGATCTATAAATTAACAAATCTTAGAGATGGAGGTTTTAAAAGGTTATAGCTACTTTGTTAGATTTCCCATAAATGCAGCTTTGCGGCATTATTACTATGGAACTTGGTACTGGTACTTGGTAAAAGACGACAGGGTGTACCACGGTGAAAGGACATATTTCAGAGACTACGATTTTAATTTTGAAAATTTGGGCAATAGTGTTTTCGAGCATGCCCTTCTCAACTAAAATAATGGCGCCCACCTAAGGCTTCCGGTTATACCGGAAGTTGACGTCATCTTCGTTATTTTAAATGGGACACCCTGTATATTATTGCAATTTTTGGATTCTACGTCAAACCAAGAAGAAATAGACTGAGAGAGATGACAGAAAATTATTACTGAAAAAGAAAATAAACCTATAAATAGTTAAACAATTTATTATATTTTATTCCCCTCGTCATTTTTTTTAAACAAATTCTATGAATAATCAAATGTTCTGAAACGGATATAGGTAGTTAGATTATTCTGGGAATATACAGGCTATTACAAATTTGCTTCTCATTACAGGGATCTCGAAAACGGTAAGAGATACAAACTCTAGCTTAAATGCGGGCAAAGTTGCTTAATCAGGGGACCAACATTATAATTATACCAAAAAAATCAAGGCTGACATGATTAGTTTTTGAAATATTTGAAAAAAAAACGACATTTTGGAAATCCGTTTTTGTTTCATTTGTGCCTTATTTGAAGTGATATTGAAGAGAAGAACACTTTCTCGTGGCAACTTTTTGCCCTCTATCGAATGTCATAATCAATTTTTATATGTAACGTTTCGTCTCCCCATGACCATCATTAATATAATTTTTTTAAATACGACCCTAAAAATTTTATTACATGACCCCCAATACTGTACTGCCTCAGCCCGAACCGGATTCAGACGTTTTGTTCGAAAAATTCATCATCAGTATATTCGTTCCAAATTTATCCAAATTTTTTATTTAGATTTCTTTGTTTATTGAATTATCGTACACTGTAAGTGTTGTTAGACTCTGTGAAATACATCTAGTTATTTAAACTATTTCCAACACGCATTAAAATAAAAAATTATTAGAGTTTTATTCCCGTGTCCATAGTTATTTCTAGGCTTCTTGAGTGCTCAAAATTCAAACAAATTCCGATCTATTTTTTTTTTCAGGATATTCATACGAATACATCTGACATGCTTTTTCACAGTTGCGGTTACAGATATAATAAATTCCGATAATATTACGCTGATCTTCATTTCCAACCTTTGCCAAAACGAAAAGGTTTTTGAACATTTACTGAATTTTTTTAAAGAATAATACTCAGTTGGCGTTTTGGTTGTTCATATGTATTTTTAAGAATTAATTTGTCCTAATAAAATTGTAATAATGTTTTAATTTTGACGCAACAACTTATTGAGTTATGTATGACCAAGTGATGGTAATAGTTAATAATAATAATAAATGTTTTATTGTAACGCGTGGTGGTAATAATAGTTTAAATAACTAAATGGATTTTACAGGGTCTAACGACACTTACAATGTATGATAATTCAATAAACAAAGAAATCTAAATAAAAGATTTAGATAAATTTGGAACAAATACACTGAAGATGAATTTTCGAGACAAAAACGTCTGAATCTGGTTCGGGCTGAGGCAGTACAGTATTGGGGATAATGAAGGCTTGCAAAAAATGTAATAACGTTTATAGGATTCTATTTAAAAAAATGAGGTTGATGATGGTCCTGGAGAGACGAAACGTTATACATATAAAAATTGATTATGTCATTCGATAGAGGGCAAAAAGTGACCATGAGAAAGTCTTCTTCTGTTTTCAATATCACCTCAAACAAGGCTGAAATGAAACAAAAACGGATTTCCAAAATTTCGGTTTTTTGAAATATTTCGAAAACTAATCATGTTAGCCTTGATTTTTTAGAGGCATAACGTTGGTCCCCTGATTACGCAACTTTGCCCCCATTTAAGTTACTTCGTACCTCTTACCGTTTCCGAGATCCTTGTAGTGAGAAGCAAAGTAATAGCCTGTATATATTGCTGTCTGGGTTGGTAAGTGTGCTATAGTCTTTCCGAAGTCAGTTAAACATGTATAAAAAACCGAGCAATCAAATTTAATGAGTTTCCTAGTTTTCTGCTAAAGGTAACAAATTATAGTAATTTTTATATATTGTGTAAAATTTCTATTATACCCCTGGTAGCACAATCGTGTGAAATTCTAATACAAGTTGTTTCAAGTTTACTTGAAATAGCCAAATTGTGTCAGATTGTTTTGTATATATTGCTGAAATTTATATCGTTTCTTATGCAAGATACTTTTACAATACTTGCACCAGAGTCACCAGACTTAACCAAAAGTACTTGAGTCCAAAGGGGTGAATTATTATAAGTCTTAATATATGTCTTACTTAATTCTAATGTAAGTCTGCAACATAGTCACTTGCTTTAATTTACCCCTTTGTGCTCAAGTGCTCTGAATCAAAATCAAATCCATTGAAAGCTTTGATCAAGACAATTGCACAATGAATCTTGCAGTAAACCTGATGCTGATTTTAGCAGTAGGTACACAGCAGTCTTGTATAAGTGTCTTGTGCAAGATTTTGCTACCATTGATGTTCATTTGACCAACAACATATTTTAATTATTTATGTTCTCAAACTATTTTATTATATTGATGGTAAATTTCGTTTTGTTCTGTTTCAAAAGGTCTCCAAATTGCCATGTTTTAATGTTATTAGTAAACCAAATATCCCTCTTATTTCTCCCTTTCGCAACTGTAATATCAATGATTAATAGAAGGTGCCTATAATAAATTAAAATTATCTGAATCACACCACATTCCGCATTGCTGCACTGCACTACCAGGCGACTTGTCGACAACTGAAATTTATGACGCAGTCGACCAGAGCAACAGAGCATATTGCTGTTTGCCTGCACGCTCATTCTTCAAATATTTCGGTGCCGAATTGCTGCGTCAACGACCGAACCTGGTACATACTGTCATTCTTTTGGTTCTTCAATTGATATCGGAAAGACTATACCCAAATATTTTTATAGTAGCGATAAAATATTACTTCACATTTACAGTTAAAATTGTTCAGCAAGGCAATAGACATAAGGCAACGTGAAATAGGATTTAACAAGTACCTATTTATATTAAAATTTCTCTCAGATCACGAAATAGCCTCCAGCACATGTTCCAGTAGGTTTATATTCCTATTCAGTAAATTAATAAACACGCTTTGCATATACGAGTATATACATTTGTCAATACTATTTTGTCTTTTCCTAACCTCACAAAAAGATCCTCTAAGTCGTTTCGATTCTATCACACTCAGTCGTAAGAAATTACGAGTAAGAGTTTCTGTAAATTACTTGTAATGCAGATTGCAATTTCTCTGTAAGCTTATAAAAAGTTACAGATTTGCTTACATGTATGTGTAGGATCGACCCATTATAATGTAAAATTGAGAAATAATAATAGACTAGGCGGTATCTGTTTTGGTTTGGGTGAATCGTATATCCACGGAGATTTTTGGCTTTTTGGCTTTCAAATATCACTAGAAATGCAAATTTTTCTATGCGCATAAAAAAAACGTGGGTTTAACTTTTGGCGGCACAATATGTTAAAAAAAAATCGAAAAATGTCATATTTTTCTTCCTATTTAATTATGTATTTTTTCAAGAGTTGATTTTAGGCGAAAATGGAAGAGGAAAAAAATGTTTATAATTAAATTTTTTACAAAACATGACTAGTTGCAAATCGAA